CGGGCAACGAGTACCTACTTACCTTTATGTGTTCAAGTACCCGTTTTCCCGAGGCGTTCCCCTTACGGAACATTAAGGCAAAGACGGTAGTCAGAGCCATGACCCGGTTTTTCACTACCTTTGGATTACCTAGAATCGTTCAAACAGACCAAGGCAGCAACTTCACCAGCCACCATTTTCAGGAAGCGCTAGCCAAGCTAGGCGTTACCCACGTCACCAGCTCAGCCTACCACCCTCAGTCTCAAGGTGTACTTGAGAGGTTTCACCAGTCACTGAAAACCATGCTGAGAACGTTCGCTAAAAGTAACACCCAATGGGATGAAACTGTTCCATGGATTATTTTCGCCGCTAGAGACTGTGTTCAGGAATCTCTAGGTTACTCTCCTTTTCAGCTTGTGTTTGGACATTCTGTCCGTGGTCCCCTGAAGCTGATCCACGAGCGTTGGACAGGTACCAGTAACCATCCAGTGGAGAACTTTGACGATTTTCACGTTCGATTGAAAGCCGTGTGCGAATTGGCTCACAAGAACTTAAGAAAGACCCAAGTGAGAATGAAAGGACTGTATGATAAGAGTTCTCGTAAGCGAACATTCAATACAAGCGAGAAAGTTCTTGTGCTCGTGCCTAACCTGAACAATGCGTTATCCTTAAGATATTGTGGACCTTTTACGGTGCATTCAAAATTAAGTGATTTGAACTATGTTGTAAATACTCCAGACAGAAGAAAGAAACAGACAGTGTATCATGTTAACTCACTGAAAAAGTATTATGATAATTGTAACAGTTTTCATTCCACAGCTAAAATTACTTTACCTGTATGTTCAAATGTTTCTGATGATGTGATACATGATAAACTGAAACCCCCAAAATTGGTAAATTCTTCCTTTTTAGATCATTTAAATGAACACCTTATGCATTTGTCCACTGAGGAAAGCCACAAATTGTCTCAGTTATTTCCCTCTATTTTTGGGGATGTCCCCAAAGAAGCAAAGGTACCACCTCATGATGAAGATGTAGGTGATGCAAAGGCTGTCAAACAACACCCCTATAGAGTTAACCCGGAAAAAGCTGTTTTGATAAAAGATGAAATTGATTACATGATCAAAAATGATATCATGAAACCCAGTTTAGCAATTGGAGTTCCCCCTGCCAGTGGTCCCAAAAGATACGGACCAGGATGTGGTACAGTGGTTAGGATCTCGGCGCGCCACGGCGGCGACCGAGGTTCAATTCCTCGGTTCAAATTACTGTGATTCAGTGATTAGGGTGGCCCTGTTACGCAGTGGCCTGGATCACGGGTTTCGGTTCCCGGTTAGATCCCATGGCCCTCGGTGGTGGCCTGTGTGGTCGAGAATTGTAACTTAAGTGGTCTAGTGATTAGACACTTGAGTGATCTGTGAGTCTAGGTGGCCCACAAATTTTAATCTGGAAATTTCCCATATTAAGGGAACTGATAATGTTGTGGCTGACTGTTTGTCAAGGATGTAAAATCTTATTACACACATTGATCATGTGACATGTTTTGTGGTTGGTTAAGACCATATACAAGTGGTTTGTTTGGGTGACACTCACATGAATGTGAGTGGTCTGAGTTTTGAATTTTTTTCAAAATTACAATCCTGTTGAATATTTTGTTTATTTTCAGGTGAACCTTATTTAAAGGTGGTTTTTCATTATATGTAATCTTTTATGATAATATGTCTCATATGACTCAGTTGATATTGTAGCTTGTCATTGAAATAAAGGAATTACCCTGTCGGGTTTACCACTTTTAGTATCCACATGGAAATATTGTAATACCCCTTTCTGAGGGACTTTGATGTATTATTATTTTTTGAAAGGGTTACTCCCCTTTCACGAATTGTAAAAGATTGAGTTACTTCCCTTTTATTTCCAGGGATGTTTTCACCTGGTATTAAGATTTTGGTTTGCTACATTTGTAGGACATTTTTTTTTATTTTATGCCAGATTGGTTCCTTATGTATGTTTTTGTGGAACCTATCTGCCACTTCCAAAAAGGGAGGGGATGTGACCTACTTAGGTCTGGTAATGTTTATTTTTACATTTTGTTATAATACCATATATGGTCTGTGGTGCAATGACCGGTTTTTTCCGCTGTCTTACTAAGAGAGTCTTACACTCAGAAATTTTCCATCAAGATATGATTGATTGATTCAGACCAGATGACCACCCCAACCAATGGCCTTATGATTTGAAGGTGACCTTCCATGTTGCCTAAGTCTATAAATATACTGCGCACAGGTGTCTCGAGGCGGTTCATTGATCAGACGTCGTTGAGAGACATAAGCCCTGTGTGTTGCCGTTTAGTACTAAGTTGTTTAAGTAGCATATTCTTATATTACTTGTGGTTAAGTAATTCTTTAAGCTTATAGCAACGTTGTGTATACTGTGGTGATTTTTCTGAAGTGTTAAAAGCTGTGATAGTGTATCATATTATTTTTTCCCACGAATTGTAAGTTGGGTTTTGTTCATTCTGTAAATATATTTTATTCCTGTATAAATCTAGTGTTCTGCCACGAGTTTGTACAATCATTACAAGTTATATGCAGATTAAATGTATTGTTGGCATCAGTAGTTTCTCTAGTGTTTCCCCTAGACATCAATTACGAGTCCTTGCGAACTAGTGTGTTAACTTTCTTTTATTTAGGCTTGTCGCCATCTGTGCATAATCAGTTAAACGAATCCGGGAGCGTTCGCCAACTATCTGGCTGATAGATTGGTGTCCGTTACAAGCCGAGTGGTTTAGCCGAATGGCCGCGGCGAATCTGGGGTAAAAGCAACTTATTTTTATAATAGTTTATCTATTATAAGAAATAGTATTATTTAATTTAAGGGTATCTATCTATGACTTCATAAATGAGTCGGTTATAGGCTGTTCCAACTCAGAGTGTGGGGAGAGGTGTCCACGCTGTACCTTCCTACCTCCAGTATGCTTGTAGGTTATCAAAACAAAATGCCGTTATCCTGTAAACATGCATACCATACATTTACACTTTTGTGCTCGCTTTTAAGCAACAGATCTTTACTGTTGTAAATTAAACATTATCAAAATTTTAAAATTGGTGAAATTTAGCTGTTAAGGGCTCGATATGTTTGTGAATTGATGCTGGTTCACGAAAATCAATTTCATTCAGGTATTAAAAAGAGGTTATAGTGGTAGTGGAGTTAGGATAAAATGGTTACTTTTATGCCAATAGTGGTCACACGATTCATTTGTTTTGAACCAATATGTCGGGAGTCATTTTGTCCGAAACCAATATGTCGGGAGCCCATTTGTCGGTAGGCAATATGTCGTCGGCCCATTTGTCAGGAGCCCATTTGTCTTGAGCCTATTTGTCAGGAGCCATTTGTCGGGAGCCTAAATGACGGGAGCCTATTTGACGGGTCTATTTTGACTGGTTCGTTTTGTCGGGGGTAGATTTGACGGGGCTATTTTAACGGGGCCGTTTTGACAGGGCCAATATGTCCCGGGCCGTTTTGACAGGTGCACCGTTTATCACTCACCGACTAAGTGTCAGGCACTTAGAGGGTGCTATCGTGAGCCCCGATTACACTAACGCAGGGGCGCCGCGTGTGGCTCGGTTTAATCATCGAATGTCGTGTCCCACCTTGTCAATATTTTAAGGTGCTCCTTAAAACTAACGTAGGCACCATAGTGCTCACGGGAAAGCCCAGGGCGCCAAATCGAAACCTGCAGGGGCGCCAGGGGACATGCCTGATTCGATATAGTCAACGATTATTGTTGTCCATCATGTCTTTAATATATAGTCTTTTTTTTAAACGAATGTATGCACCATAGTGCTCATATGGGAGCCCGGGGCGCTTCGAGTCATGCAATAGCCGGTACGCCGGCGGCTGTGCCTGTTGAAGTTTTACCGCTAAATATAGTAGTATTCCTTACCCGAAAGGCAGGACGACCAATTAACGGATACCAAGTGCTAAGTTAGCCGCTCTGGAACTCTAGGCGCCAAACAATGTATTAAAAAAATATCGCATCTTCCCGGGTGTTTCCCATTAGAGATTTTTTTTCCTCGCAGAAACCTTTTCGGGAGTATTCTCATCAACTCCCCAAAGTTTCATGGCACTTGGATGAACGATGTCGAATAAAACCCGACTTTTTAAAAAAATATGCCGCATATAGAGAAAAATGGAACACTCCCTGGGCGCCGCCCTTGAGAAAATAAAAAAGATAATTTAGCAGAAAGCTGCCCTGGAGTGTTCTAATCAACTACCCACAGTTTGATGTCGATCGGAAGAACGGTGTCAAACCGCAATCGACTTTTATTTTTATATACCATATATAGAGAAGGATCGAATTGAGCCCTATCGGGGCGCTACCTCTGCGAATTCGAATTATTTTTTTCGCAGAAACCTCCCCAGGAGTATTCGCAACTTATTCCTAAACTTTCATGGCGATCGGATGAAAGGTGTAGTAATGCATAAAAGAAAAACAGACACACAGATACACATACATTATATATATATATATATATATATATATATATATATATATATATATATATAAATAAATAAATATATATATATATATATATATATATATATATATAAAATAGATAGATTGGTTAGTGCAAAAGTTTTATTAAGATGAGTTGTGAATAGGATCTAGAAGATTTCCATTCAGACACATTTTCAAAATAGCATTAAACTGGAATAGATTGAATGATTCCTTTTGATCGCCATTACACGCCATCAAATATTTGATTACCATTACACGACATCAAATATTTGATTACACAACACTCACCAATAACTAAACGAACAGCCATATACTGAACCATGTCTTGATTCGACCCAAGTACAGAAAAATGTCCTGATTTGACCCACGTCGACCCACGTACTGACCCTTGTCCTGATTTGACCCGTGTACTGACCCATGTCCTGATTCGACCCACTTACTGACCCATGTTCTGATTCGACCCACTTACTGACCCATGTCCTGATTTGACCCACGTACTGACCCATGTACTGGGAAAACCTCCAGTCCCCGTTGAGAAAGATTTCCTCTGAGAAGAGCTCCGTGTCGCTGAGATCGCTGTGGTACATGAGCATCCACTCCTTGGCCCTCAGAGCGTCCTCCTCCATACGCTTTCTCTTCCACAGTAGGAAGCTCATGACGTAGGTCAGCAACACGCTGCCCACGATGAAACACAGGACCATGACGATGATGTGGATGTTCATTCTTCTGGTGGCGGCTGTCATCTGGTGGCAGCAGACGGCAACAATTAACACACACAGCAGACGGCAACAATTAACACACACACAGCAGACGGCAACAATTAACACACACACACACACAGCAGACGGCAACAATTAACACACACACACAGCAGACGGCAACAATTAACACACACAGCAGACGGCAACAATTAACACACACACACCCACAGCAGACGGCAACAATTAACACACACAGCAGACGGCAACAATTAACACACACAGCAGACGGCAACAATTAACACACCCACAGCAGACGGCAACAATTAACACACACAGCAGACGGCAACAATTAACACCAATTAGACCAATACAAACAACCTTATTTGAATAATACAAAAAACCCAAATTTGACCAATACAAACAAACCTATTTGACCAACACAAGCAACCCTATTTGACCAACACAAGCAACCCTATTTGACCAACACAAGCAACCCTATTTAACCAATAACTCTAGTTGACCAATACAAACAACCCTATTTGACCAACACAAGCAACCATATTTGACCAACACAAGCAACCATATTTGACCAACACAAGCAACCATATTTGACCAATACAAACAATCCTATTTGAACAATACAAACAATCCTATTTGACCAATACAAATAATCCTATTTGACCAATACAAGCAGCTGGATCAACTGACCGAGACGTAGGCGTGTGTTGAACTGTAGGCCACCATGCTGACCACGCCCACATAGACGACATACTCCGTGTCTTTCTCTAGCGGCTTGTTGTGGTTAGACTGTTGATGAAAGGGTGACACACTTCATGGCAGGGTGACACACTTGATGGCAGGGTGACACACATGATGACATGGTGACACACTTGATGGCAGGGTGACACACTTAGTGACAGGGTGACACACTTGATGGCAGGGTGACACACTTGATGGCAGGGTGACACACTTAGTGACAGGGTGACACACTTAGTGACCGGGTGACACACTTAGTGACAGGGTGATACACATAGTGACAAGGTGACACACTTGATGACAGGGTGACACACATGATGGCAGGGTGACACACGTAGTGACAAGGTGACACACTTGATGACAGGGTGACACACTTGATGGCAGGGTGACACACTTAGTGACAGGGTGACACACTTAGTGACAGGGTGACACACTTAGTGACAGGGTGACACACATGATGACAGGGTGACACACTTGATGGCAGGGTGACACACTTAGTGACAGGGTGACACACTTAGTGACAGGGTGACACACTTGATGACAGGGTGACACACTTAGTGACAGGGTGACACACTTAGTGACATGGTGACACACTTAGTGACAGGGTGACACACTTAGTGACAGGGTGACACACTTAGTGACAGGGTGACACACTTGGTGACAGGGTGACACACTTGATGGCAGGGTGACACACTTAGTGACAGGGTGACACACTTAGTGACAGGGTGACACACTTGATGACAGGGTGACACACTTAGTGACAGGGTGACACACTTGATGACAGGGTGACACACTTAGTGACAGGGTGACACACTTAGTGACAGGGTGACACACTTGATGGCAGGGTGACACACATGATGACATGGTGACACACTTAGTAACAGGGTAACACACTTGATGGCAGGGTGACACACTTAGTGACATGGTGACACACTTGATGGCAGGGTGACACACTTAGTGACATGGTGACACACTTAGTGACAGGGTGACACACATGATGGCAGGGTGACACACAGGATGGCAGGGTGACACACTTAGTGACATGGTGACACACTTGATGACAGGGTGACACACTTGATGACAGGGTGACACACTTGATGACAGGGTGACACACTTGATGGCAGGGTGACACAGTTAGTGACAGGGTGACACACTTTGTGACAGGGTAACATAGTTAATGACCAGGTGACACAGTTGATAACAGACTGAGCCACGTGAAAGAGCTACAACAACAATGAGTGATCACGTGACAGTTGACCTACATTTCCTTGACCAATCAAAAACTCCACGTCCTGGTTCGTGTTGATGAAGCCCACGGTTTGACCCTGGGGTCGGCCGGTCAACAGGCCCGCTTCACGTCTGCTGCGGATGGGGTCACTCGAGCTGTTGTCTAGAGGTAGGGTGTCGCCTGAGATTTGTAGGGGGGGGGGTGTCGCCTGAGATTTCAAACTTTATTCTTGTTCAAGATGCGTTAGTCGTTAAACAGTTTAAAACTACATGTAGTACATGTATTTACCCTTAATTTGAAACCAGTTTTTATTTATCAATTTTGATCGGTAGCCTAGAAAATGATATGTGAATAAACGCGTTTGTTTTTAAATGGCTACAATGATTATGAAATGACTGATTTTCAGTGATACGGTGGGTAGGTTTTTAGCGCAATTTCCATACGGACAATTGCGATTATTAATTCGTTATTTCTGGATGGATGGATGTGTGTCCGCAGCTTTAAGTCGTATCTCCTCCTCAACGAAGCAATATCGAGGACTAGTTCCAAAGCAAATATGTTAAGCAAGTTCCGAGAATGATTGTGGGCCAAAAAAATTCCCGGAATTCCTTCCTGGATTTCCCGGAAAAGCCAAAAAACCTTTTTAAAAAACAGTTTTTGGCCCATATCTCGGCAACCAGACCACTTAGCGACTTGAAACATTTACCAATCGATTCCTGCCATAATTTAGAACAATATTGCCGAAGAAAGTTTTCAAAAATATCCTTTCGTTCGGTCACAAATTTTTTTTTTTTTAATTTACATAAACACCTACAAACCGATCGTTCTCCTAGCTTGAACGCACCCCAGCATTATACGTCTTGTGTTTTGTCCCCGTGTGTGCTTTACGCTACGACAGAGCTACGGGTTATGAACATAATACACTACAGTACTATATAGCAATATATAGATATAGATCTATGGGGAAAGGGATGTGTCAAAATAATCTATTTTTCGCTGTCTTTTAGATCTTGCTATAAGTTTATCTTTTACTTATTAATTCAAACGTTATTTTTGTACCCTATTAATTTATTTATAATTTATATGAGAGTGATAGGGAGTTACAATTACAAGGTTTTGTTTCGCTAGGCCTAATCATTTTTTCAAATTTTTTAAAAACAAACTTGATCACTATCTATTTTTAGATAACATAAGGAGATTGCGCTTAAATTGTCACTAGACTTTTTATTAACTTGTTTTAAAAAGTGTTGTTGTGACGCTAGATTTCTCCACACGGCGGGCAAAATGGGCGGGCATAGTATTAGTTACAGTGGCGTAGGCAGGGGGGGTAGGTGGGTCATAACCCCCCCCCCCCCCCATAGACCCCTCGGTATATATATAAAAAGTATGAGGGGGTGCAAATCGAAAGTTTGAGGGGGGGGATGCACATCGACAGTTTGTCCCCGGGTAAAAATTGGAACCCCTCCCCCCCCCCCCTTGAGACGATCCTGGCTACGCCACTGATTAGTTAGCTGTTGTTTTTACCCTGCATGATTTAAAAAGTATAAATAACATTAACTTAGTAGAAAGCAAAAATAATTTTCTATAGTTTAAAATATAGAAAATAGTATGTTTAGAACAAAATTAAATAAAGCAATTCACGTTTTGGTTACTTTAATTATGTTCTATTCGACATTCTCATTCTCAGCGATTAGACAAAAATCATCCATTGTTAAAACTAGACCGGCATCGTTGAATAATACGCAAAAATAACTATTTTAAGTATATATTCTGAAATGACCATGAAACATTGTTAAATAAACCGGGAGTGATCTCCCTTAAACTTCCTCGAATATTCTTATATAACACTACGGGAGTGGCAACTCGAGACATAGACAATATTTTAAATCCATTTTTAATTACTGAAACTATTTAAAATAGAATAGCATCTCGTAGAAAAAAGAACTACACACCAATTGAACGCCAAATAAAATGTTTATAATAGTGCGGAATATTATTAGTACTTTGTAAATTCACATGCGGTTTTTAAGAAATCTGAAATAGCGAAAATTACTACTTCCGGTTAACGGAAATTACTCAAAATTTGACAGAACACAGAAAATTAGATGTTTTACTTACATGTGAAATTTCATTTATCTATCTGAAATAGTACTCAAGTTATAGGCTTTTGAAAAATAGAAAGAAGAAAAAGTTCAACTTTTGGTTATCGGATATCGCTCAAAAGTTGAAACGGATCTACGATTTTGATATAATATTTATATATGAAAGTTCAGCAACCTAGCTGTATTCAAGGTATCGTGTTTACAGACACACACACGTATAGACATACGGACAAGATTGCACAACTATGTTTAACACAATATCCAGATCGACGTGGCACAGCCACATACTCTAGCATGTGGCTGAACCACACACACACACACACACACAAGTCTAGCGTGGCTGAATCTCCATTCCCCCATACACAAGCTTAACCACACACACACACCTACCTATACCTGTGTCAGATGCTCTTTGTATTCGGATATCAAAGCCAGTGAAAGGTCCTTTATTCAGATCAATCTTGGTGGCAAAGATCATGATCTTTATGGATGTGTCAGTCGTATACACGAGTCTAAAAGAAAAGTCAAGCTGGATAATGTGGGGTATTGGTGGATAATCTGGGGTGAGGGTGGATAATCTAGGCTATGTGTGGATAATCTGTGGTGTGGGTGGATAATCTGGGCTATGTGTTGATAATCTGGGCTATGTGTATAATCTAGGCTATGTGTGGATAATCTGGGCTATGTGTGGATAATCTAGGCTATGTGTGGATAATCTGGGGTGAGGGTGGATAATCTGGGCTATGGGTGGATAATCTGGGGTGTGAGTGGATAATCTGGGGTGTGGGTGGATAATCTGAGCTATGTGTGGATAATCTGGGCTATGTGTGGATAATCTGGGCTATATGTGGATAATCTGGGGTGAGGGTGGATAATCTGGGGTGTGGGTGGATAATCTAGGCTATGGGTGGATAATCTGGGGTGTGGGTGGATACTCTGGGGTGTGGGTGGATAATCTGGGGTGTGGGTGGATAATCTAGGCTATATGTGGATAATCTGGGGTGTGGGTGGATACTCTGGGGTGTGGGTGGATACTCTGGGGTGTGGGTGGATGATCGGGGTTTAGGCAGGTAGCCAGCTAAAGCAGGTAACTTACTGGGGTATGGGTGGGTAATCGGGTACCGCCTGCAATGTCCACATGATTTTCTCGATGCTCTTTCTTGACGCCCATTTAGGATCTCTGGCACTGACTCGATAGCTCTGGTGGAGTTCCAGGTTGCAGACAGTTTTCGATTTGATGACGTTTGGCACCAGGTAACTGACCTGCTCGCCTGTCCTATTGTTGGTCAGGTTAAACTGGACAAGACACAATTAACGTTGGTCAGGTTAAACTGGACAGGACACAATTAACGTTGGTCAGGTTAAACTGGACAAGACACAATTAACGTTGGTCAGGTTAAACTGGACGAGACACAATTAACGTTGGTCAGGTTAAACTGGACAAGACACAATTAACGTTGGTCAGGTTAAACTGGACGAGACACAATTAACGTTGGTCAGGTTAAACTGGACAGGACACAATTAACGTTAGTCAGGTTAAACTGGACAAGACACAATTAACGTTGGTCAGGTTAAACTGAACGAGACACAATTAACGTTGGCTACATGTCTGCCATATTTCGACTACATACTTGGGCCTTGGGCTACAGTCCCGGCATAGTTGGGCTACACATCCAAGTATAATTGGGCTACAGACCCTAGTATAATTGGGCTACACCCCCAGTATAATTGGGCTACACACCCCCAGTATAATTGTGCTACACGTCACAGTATAATTGGGCTACACCCCCAGTATAATTGGGCTACACCCCCAGTATAATTGGGCTACATACCTCCAGCAGTGTTGGGCTACACCCCCAGTATAATTGGGCTACACCCCCAGTATAATTGGGCTACACTCCCAGTGTAATTGGGCAACACACCCTATTGGGCTACACATCCCAGTAAAATTGGGCTACACACCCCCAGTATAATTGGGCTACACCCCCAGTATAATTGGGCTACACCCCCAGTATAATTGGGCTACACCCCCAGTATAATTGGGCTACATTATGTAGCGTACGCAGGGGGGAGCAGGGGGAGCGGCCGCTCCCCCTCTGGTCATTTTCAGCAAAGTGGCGCTTTTTTGGAAACTTTATAAACTCAGAGTTTTAAACAATGATATTTGTTAAAAAATATTTTTGGTCGGCACATCTATGTAAATTACAAGATTTATTTTCATGCAGCAATTAAGCATTATTGTATTAGTCTTGTAGTCTATACGTTTACAACACGTTTTAATAGCTGCATCAGTTTGCCATTCTAAAAATAACCATTACGATGCATTGCAATGTTTAAAAAACCTCTACGGGTAGTAACACTTGGCAAGAGGGGTGTTAAGTTTAAGGCAACTGTATAATGTATTTGCTTACGAATGATTGAATTAGAAAATGTTATACATAAAACTTCACACATAATTACTTTATATATACAGTTTGAATTGTGTGATTATTTTAAAAAAAATTACAATACAGAAACAAATACAACTGATGTGGCACCTCTATTTAAATTTACTTATGAGCTAACTGCGTAGTTGTAGGGAAATTTTGACAAGGTCAACAACGTCATCACGATGAAGTAGTAGTATTCTTACAGTTTGGGCGATAGTGATTACGATTACAAATGATATGAAACAGTTACAACCCCCCTCCCCCATGGACCCCTCTGTAAAAAAATATATTGTCATAATACCACTGCAACTTATTTAAATATATGTTCACTCGGAGTTGGTTATCTCCCTCCCCCCCCCCCCCACACACACACCTCACCACCACAATTGTGTAGAGCGACATTAATGTCACACCTAGGTATACACTGTGTTGGATAATTGACCTAAAGTGACCGGGCAGTGGTGAATGAAGTTGAACCCACCCCCGACCCCCCCCCCCCCCCCCCGCAACCCACCCCGAACTGATCTGTTAAGTACATGTAGAAAAACGCGTAATGATGTACCAAATTACTATGCCGCCAGAAAATTAGCTTTTTAAACGTAAAACTGTGAATATTGTTTTTGCAATTACCAGTAAAAAGGTGTGTGATCAATACAGTGACCTAACCCATACCTATCACTATGTTAAAATGATTTTTAAAGAACACAAAGAAGCAGTAGTTAATTAAAAAAAATATTATCTTAATTAAAAGACCGATATTTAGTTAAATGTAGGCTGTTATTCCGAATGTTATTCTATTATATCGAAAAGCGTGGTTATATACCAACTCTGATTTTAAAAACTTTCATTATGCTGTAAAACTTTAGCGTTTATGATGACGATATATTAAATTCTGATTATAGACAAAAACATTTTGTAAACACGAACCGTGTTAAACAATTTCTTTATATTCTAAAGTAATTGTTTATTGGTTTTGACATTTATAATTAAATGTGTAGATATATACATTTTTATATTAAGAGAGTGATTATTTCCCCTATTTCACCTGTCTTTAATAATTTCAAAGGAATTATAAAGTAAGAATTTTTTTTTTACCAGAATTACAAAACAGATTGTGTTACGTTCATTGTTTTTTGATTGTAGTGTGTTTAGATTGATACAATTTTTGTTTTGTTGGCCTACATTGTGTGTTTTTTATTATTTATTCAGAGTGCTACTTTCAATTTATTTTACATCATAGAGAAGTAATAACATACAGCTAGTAATTTTATGTATATATATATATATATATATATATATATATATATATATATATATATATATATATATATAATACACGTATATGGAACGTGTTAAAATAAAAATTCGGCGCCTTTTTTTGCTCTTTTCGCTCCCCCTACAACGAAAACCTGGATACGCCTCTGGCTACATACCTCCAGCAGTGTTGAGCGCACTGAGAATCCCCGCCACGTGAACGTGATGCACTTTTCTTTAGCGTCAATCTGGTCCAGGTGGGGGCTATCTTTCACTGAAGTGTACAACATAGACACCTGGCCACAACATAGACACCTGGCCACAACATAGACACCTGGCCACAACATAGACACCTGGCCACAACATAGACACCTGGCCACAACATAGACACCTGGCCACAACATAGACACCTGGCCACAACATAGACACCTGGCCACAACATACAAACATAGACCTCCCCATACAAACCTAGGCCACCCCATACAAACATAGACCATCCCATACAAACCTAGGCCATCCCATACAAACCTAGACCTCCCCATACAAACCTAGGCCAACACATACAAACCTAGATCTCCCCATACAAACCTAGGCCAACACATACAAACCTAGGCCTCCCCATACAAACCTCGGCCACCCCATACAAACCTCGGCCACCCCATACAAACCTCGGTCACCCCATACAAACCTCGGCCACCCCATACAAACCTAGACCTCCCCATACAAACCTAGGCCAACACATACAAACCTAGGCCTCCCCATACAAACCTCGGCCACCCCATACAAACCTAGGCCAACACATAGAAACCTAGGCCTCACCATACAAACCTAGGCCAACACATACAAACCTAGGCCTTCCCATACAAACCTCGGCCACCCCATACAAACCTAGGCCACCCCATACAAACCTAGGCCAACACATACAAACCTCGGCCACCCCATACAAACCTAGGCCACCCCATACAAACCTAGGCCAACACATACAAACCTAGACCTCCCCATACAAACCTAGACCTCCCCATACAAACCTAGACCTCCCCATACAAACCTCGGCCACCCCATACAAACCTAGGCCACCCCATACAAACCTAGGCCAACACATACAAACCTCGGCCACCCCATACAAACCTAGGCCACCCCATACAAACCTAGGCCAACACATACAAACCTCGGCCACCCCATACAAACCTAGGCCACCCCATACAAACCTAGGCCAACACATACAAACCTAGACCTCCCCAAACCTAGACCACTCCATACAAACCTAGGCCACCCAATACAAACCTAGGCCTCCCCATACAAACCTCGGCCACCCCATACAAACCTAGGCCACCCCATACAAACCTAGGCCAACACATACAAACCTCGGCCACCCCATACAAACCTAGGCCACCCCATACAAACCTAGGCCAACACATACAAACCTAGACCTCCCCAAACCTAGACCACCCCATACAAACCTAGGCCACCCCATACAAACCTAGGCCAACACATACAAACCTAGACCACCCCATACAAACCTAGACCTCCCCATACAAACCTAGACCTCCCCATACAAACCTAGGCCACCCCATACAAACCTAGGCCACCCCATACAAACCTAGGCCACCCCATACAAACCTAGGCCAACACATACAAACCTAGGCCACCCTATACAAACATAGCCCCCCCCCATACGAACCTACACCACCCCATACAAACCTAGGCCACCCCATACAAACCTAGACCAACACATACAAACCTAGGCCAACACATAAAACTAAGGCCACCCGATAAAAACCTAGATCACCCCATACAAACTTGGGCCACCCCATACAAACTTGGGCCACCCAAGTTAAGGATACTTAACTCGAATGACAAGACAGTTTTGCTATATTGAGCAGAGACATGGAGAGTCTCCAAAGCAAGCACAGCGAAGATACAGACCTTCATGAATAGATGCCGTAGACAGATTTTGAAATTGGTATGGCAGGACAAAGTGCCGAACATAGAATTATGGAGGAAAGCATTTTGGAGGGATGTCTTGGGAGATGGCAAAAGTAATAGCCAGCGATCGGACGAAATGGAAGGACATGGTGGAGACCCTATGTTCCATAAGGAGCAAAGAGGACTAAGTCAAGTCATACAAACCTAAGCCAACCACACAGACCTTGGCCACCCCACACAGACCTTGGCCACCCAATACAAACCTAGACCACTCCATACAAACCTAGGCCACCCCATACAAACCTAGACATCCCCATACAAACCTAGACCTCCCCATACAAACCTAGACCTCCCCATACAAACCTAGGCCACCCCATACAAACCTAGGCCACCCCATACAAACCTAGGCCACCCCATACAAACATAGGCCACCCATCCAAACCAATCAAAGTGAGGCGTGAAGTAAACAAACATGGACGTTGCTCTACCAGCGTGAACCGACGAGGTCGAGGCAGAGAGAGATGTCAACAGAACGAATGCTGCGAGTTGGTTGCCTGTCATTTGACTTGACGCCTGTTTACATGTGTCACAACGCTGTACATCTGTGCAGGCGGAAGTAGGTGCGATCAAAACAAGAGAAAAGTAAACAAAAAATAATGACGTCAAAAATTTTAAATCTTACAATCCAAAATTTAATAGGTAGGACTAGACGCATATATACCATTTATTTAGGCCTACCACCAATTTAGTGCAATACTAGGGCTAAAGACTTACCTCGGCCCTTGTATTTTGTGCACAAAAAGGAACGTATGATAATCCTCAGAGCCGGCGTTAGGAAAACGCGGGGCCTAGGGCCAACCATCCGCGCGGGGCCTTTCCATTATATATATACTAGCCGTCCCGGCCAGGCCCTGCTCTGGCTTCTGTGAAAAACCTTTCTGTTAAAGACCATTACCTGCGTGTTTAGTAATCATCATAAACCCGGCATTGCTCACCCAAATCACGACCAACCAAAACCAAAACAACAAAACGCAAACATAACGCTAACACAATTACAAATACAAACGAAAACAAAAACCTAGCAACAAACCCAACCACAACCACAAACACCAATACAAACACAAAGAAAAAACAAACAAAAAAGCAAACGAAAACAAAAACCTAACAACAAACCCAACCACAAACACCAATACCAACAAAAAAAAAAACGAAAAAGCAAACGAAAACAAACCAAATCCAAACGCAAAACCAACCAAAAACACAAATACAAACCCAAACAAAAAAAAATAAAAACAAAAACGAAAAAAGAAAGAACAAAAACGAACCAAATCAAAACGCAACCACTAACGCAAACCCACCTAAACACAAAGAAAACACTAACGCGAACATAAACGCCCGGGGCAGAATCGCCTGTTTTAGCTTAATAAACGACTATAGTACCCCAACTTATTCATAGTTTTTGCACTCACTTAAACGAACGCGCCTGTTTCAATTTAATGAACAATTATAATACTCCAAGCTTATCCGTAAAATACCTACAACATTTGCACTTGATCAATCCCCGCTAATTATGTAATTATTTTTTTCCCAACACCAAAACAAAGTAATTAAAAAGTAAATGCTTTTCAACTAATGCAATGATTTCATAAAGGGAAGTAATTGTGTTTTGCCTAATTTATCAAAGGGAAGTAAGCGCTATAGGACTAAATAAAAACATAATTAGAATTTTTGTAAAAGATGATATTTTTTTTAAAACTTGTGTTTAATGAACATGCCGACAATTATTACTATAATTTGAAAAATGAAAATGATTTCCCAACACTTTTAAAAGTAATTTTTTAACTCATAAATTTAGACAAACGCGCACGATAATTGATCTAACACTTAAATCCGTAGAAATGCCAACGACAAACATATGCGTTACAGAATTGAGCTTTATATATTAGATATATATATATATATATATATATATATATATATATATATATATATATATATATATGTATAAAGGCCTATATAATGTGATGTACACATAATAACACAAATGTTTTGGAGTTTATAAGCTAATGCCAAACTTTCCACTATAATAACAGATTTTTATCTCTCCCATGTATTAACCCAAAGTTCGTAGTTTTTTTTTCCTTGCTAAGATATTAAATCACTTTTGACAGTTATGTAATTCATACCAAATCACATAAGAAAATTTAATCACGAGCCGAATAATTAGGAAATAAAGTTTACAATACAGAGAACTCGGCCTGATGTATCAAAACAGTATAGACTTCAAAATTTGTTTAGAATTCATACAATATTTTAAAACCAAAATCATTATTGTCTTAACTATTGTAAAGGATTTCCCTACAATAAAAAAAATGTGCTTAATCACTCTACGAATGCAGTTAAGTTCACCAAAGTATCACATATAAATTGAAAGACTAAATCACAACCCTCCATTGCCTCAATCAAAGTTGTGTGACGAGGACAATTCGCTGACTATATCATGTCAGCACCACTGGAAGACGATTGAATAAAACTATTTGGATGAATTCGGTAAATTAATCATTCTGTCTTGGAACGGGTGAATCCTTAAGGTGACACAATATAACAGTTTTAACTTTCTTCCAAAAAATAATAATAAATCACTCTGTGTAATGCCGCCTGATTTGGATCCTAAGCCCCCCCCCCCCTTTACGCTCGTCGCCCTCCGACCACCTCTCTGTACGCAACTGAATGTTAATTTTGTTATACCAAGACAAGTAGGCCTACATATAGAGTTTCTTCCAGGCATCTCTTCGGGGGGGGGGGGGGGGGGGGGGGGGGGCAACCCCCCCCCCCCCTGAAAAAAATTCTAACCGCTCCCCCCCCCCCCCCCCCCCGAATGAAAAGAAATTTATATAATTTATATAGAAAATATATACTTTTAACAGTGTCCGCCCCCCCCCCCCCGAAGGAAGTCTACTGCCCCCCCCCCCCCCCCCCGAAAATTTCAAGTGCCTCCCCCCCCCGGAGAAAAAAGTCTGGAAGAAACACTGTACATATACGACATTATACGACATCTACAACAAGAAAGTCAGGACTAGAGTTCATCACGTCACTAACTGTCTACTACAGACATCCCGTCTGCTCACTAAAAGGACGTCTTCATCGGTCCGCATACAATAGGGTATCTCTTTACGTCGTGGGCTAATTCTCAACCGCCATCTCCAGTCAGCTCAGGTCAAATGCCAGGCGACCGTACCCTACACAAAGGGGAGGTGTAACACTGTTTTTGTATCGAATTACGGCCTGTCCCAGTTCAGGTGGGACTCACCAACATCAAACGTGGCCTCAGTTATAACAATCAGCAACGTCGGCATTCGACCATTTAGTTTTTTCCCAATTGAATTCAGCAACAATTTTTTTAAGTTTACGAACTAATTCAGATAACAATGACAGTGCTGAAGCGCGGGGCCCCTTCAAGCGCGGGGCCTATGGCGACCGCCCCGTTCGCCACCCCCTAACGCCGGCTCTGATAATCCTACCCTTATTAGGGCTATATACATACCACTGTATTAGGGCTATTGAAATGAATTTTAATCCATTTTTAATTATTTAAACTTTTTATAAATAGAATAGAATCTCGTACAAAAAAGAATTGCGCACCAAGTAAACGCCAAACCATATGTGTATAATAGTGCGGAATATAATTAGTAATTTATGCATTTTTTGAGAAATCGGAAATGGCATATATTACTACTTTCCGGTCAACGGAAATAACTCAAAATTTGATAGAAGGCAGAGAATTAGATCTTTTAGTTATATTCGAAATTTCGTTTATCTTCGCCAATTTTAAAGCTTTGATAAAAATGCCCAGAGATCATTATACGAAGAGATTATATTCGTTCACTTTCCCGTAAGCTTCAGCTTATGTTGATGTTCGAATATATCTGCTAGGTGTGCTACTCTCTCCAACTACTCTTTGTCGTTCAAGTACATTAAAAAGTATTGTTTCCCTTGCACTTTTCATCTTTCAAATCAAACACACGATTCACAACATTTCCTTTTTACAGCCAGCTTATTGTAGTGATCCTTATTCATGATTTTGCACAGTTCTTTAAACAGATGGGTGTTTAGGGCTCCAGATTTTTTAAATTAGCAAAATGGATTCAAAAGGGTCTTGCTTGCGAGGGCATACCGGTGAATCATGCAGTGGATTCCCCTTGGTTAGGGAGCTAAATCTTTTACTTTTTTTCTGAAAGCCTGGTTTTGACCCAAACATAGATTGCACACTATCCGTACGAACCCCACATCCGTTTTTTTTTTTCATTTTGATCATCTAGTTTCAAACAACGTATTTTTTTTCTCCATGAATCCTCACAAAATAGCAGCTTCCTTGCTATCTGAATAAATATATTTCACAAAGACAATACTAATACGAACTCCCGTCTGTTGATTTATCAACTTGAAAATCAAACAATGATGAAAGCTTGAATTCATTTAAAATGTGTTCTTTAACATCTACGGACATGTCTGCAATAAGCCGCTTACTCGTATTATTGGACAGAGATATTTGTTGCATCTTTACTGCACTGAAAACCCCATGAATTAATTGCACCATCTTCAACATGAAGGGTTTATGATATTTTCTCCTAATGTGTGTTATGTTCTTTTTACATGGCAATTTAATTTCTAATACGACTTCATATAATGCTGGCAATAATGCTGCCTTTTCCTGGGGAAAACTTCCTGTTCGATCAAGTCTCTGACTTTTGCAACTATTAACTATAAAAATGATTATGGTCGGCTGTGGGCCCCTAAACGGCGTGCACCCCTCCCCCCCCCCCCCCCCATGCATTGCGGGGTCTGGCGGCACTGTAGTTCCGCACCTGAAGAGCGTATTCGTAGGATATGCCGAGCATTTTATCATTTTATTATGTCAATAGACTTACCATTATGATGGTCATGCCGCGCTGTAGGCCTATAATATTGTTTGTATAGTTTATTATTAGATGTTTATATGGGTCGTAACTGAACAGATTCTAATTATGTTGCTGTGGTGGATATTCTTGATTTAGGTCAGAAAAATGCAAAACTCCAACACATAAAAAAGTAGTTATAATACGTTTTTTTTTTTAAAAAAAAAACGTTAATTTAAAAAAATAAAATAAAAAATTTAAAGAATAAGGCCTATGCACTGTCTAATGAGTAATTTAATAATGTAATTTATGATTTCTAAAATGACAAGTAGTTAAATACAACTTCAAAGTCTTTAGAACAGTGTTTCTTCCAGACTTTTTTCTCCGGGGGGGGGGGGCACTTGAAATTTTCGGGGTGGGGGCGGTAAACTTTCTTCGGGGGGGGGGGGCGGACACTGTTAAAAGTATATATTTTCTATATAAATTATATAAATTTCATTTCGTTCGGGGCGGGGGGGCGGTTAAAAAAATTTCGGGGGGGGGGGCGAAGCCCCCCCCCCCCCCCCCCCGAAGAGATGCCTGGAAGAAACTCTGCTTTAGAATACTTTAGATAATTGGCAGGTTTTTTTTCCCTTTAAATATTTGTGCAGAAGACTTAAAAAAAGTAATATTGATTATTATTGATGGTTAGGGACTTTTTTTTAGAGTAAATTAGAAATATTAATTCAGAGAAAGCCTAGACCTAGATAATAATATTTTTTTTTCAAATCTTTGTTCATCTTGTTGACAAACAATACTACTAGCTCCATGGTGATAATCTTTGGCGGCAACTTAAAATATGAATGAATGGGAAAGTACCGCAGAAGAATCAACGTCTAAAAATAGAAATGACCTCTTACCTAGGGTCTATTTCTGTTAGTTGTTTACACATTACTATTATTTTTAAATGGTCATTGGTAGAAACCTTTCAAAGAAGCCACAAAAAATTGGGAAAAAGTGTGCAAAGTACTCAAACAGCGAAAGGAAGAGTTGGATTATCTCTCGGACTAATCGTCAATGTCTCTATTTTTGGCATACTACTTTCGCAACCCAGTTCTGCCATAGTGACGTCAACATATCTTAACTTGCAGGAAGAAGACAAAGGGCTGCGAACTAATTTTATATAAATATTGTTTAGTAAAATTATATTCTAACGGGATATAAAATAATGACTCTGCACACCATTTAGTTATATTAAATTAGCAAGCAAATTACGCTTCTATTTCAACAGATGTCTTTTTTATATCATAAAAACTATGGTACTATATTTTAATGATAATATATCCCGTGAGCTTACAATGCAGTGAACAGGCACTGAGAGTTGGAGCGGAAGAAAGGTCAACCGATTATTAAGACCTGCAACTTAAAACGATTAATTCATCTGTAACCCGTGAACTTGACCCTAATTCAACACCAACCCCAATCCCTGGGACACCAACACCACATCTATGTAGGTAAGTCCGGTTATAGGTCAGTATTCGTAACTACGTAGCTTTGGAATGCGCCTCAACACTTTATCTCACAATATGATAATCTTGAAAAAAAAAAATACCTCCGCAGACTGTCTGCTAATTTCTTAACCCACCTCTAGATCTAGACTAGAATCTAGATTATAGCTAGATCTAGATCTAGATCTAGATTCTAGATCTAGGATCTATTCTAAATCTAGATTTCTAGATATTAGTAGATTCTTCTATCCAATCTAGATCTAGATTCTAGATCTAGACTCTATCTATATCTCTATAAGTATAATCTATCTAGATCTAGATCTATATCTCTAGATCTAGATCTAAAATAGATCAGGAGTCTAGCTACTGGAGTAGCTACGGTGTAGCTAGATCTAGGTCTAGATTTCTAGATCTAGATCTAGGCCTGTAAAAGTGGTGAGTAGATCTCTAGTTAATCTAGCTCTAGATCTATACGATTTAGAATCTAGATCTAGATATCTCAATTATCTAGATCTAGAAATCAAGTAGATTCTTGATTTAGATATCTAGATTCTAGATAAAGTAGTAAGTAGGCCTAAATCTAGAATCCCCTAGATCTAGAATCTAGGAGGACTTAGAGCAGAGGCCTAGAGTCTAGTCTACTAGAGTGTCCTAGAGTCTATCCTTAAGCCTTAACTTAATCAGACTAAAATTATTAATTAGTAGCATTAAGTAAAGCACCATCATGTCTTCTTCGTTCTTAATTATTAGTGTGGAAGGGGATCGAGATTTATCTGCCAGTGGGTTTGAACTCCAGACTTTGTTCGAATTTATCAACCATGAGCTTTTTGCCGACTCGACCAAGCCTCCAACACAATTAAGGATTACGTGTCAACTGCGCCATTGAGGCCATTGACTCCGATTTCAGCCTGCTTTTCTTTTTGGATTTGCTTCCATAGCCTTTGTCCAACCAAGAACAAACTACAAGGCAGCAGTTGTTTGATTTTGGAGTTGTCTCTCCTAGAAGAGTGGCTGTCCCCAGCTAACGAGCCTCATCTGCCCGAGGGTTCGAACTCGAGACTTTTCGGTTTAGCAACCATGAGCTTTACCGACTCGACCACGCCGACCCCTCACCATCATGTGATCATAGCCATAGTTTAGTGATTAGAGTAGACTGTTGAGTCTGTGTAGAGTGGGGTGACACCATTTAGTGGGGTGACACCTAGTGAAAAAAGCTTATACACATACATGTACACGTATGCAGTATATAATTAAATTATAGGTCTATGTAGGCAGACACAAACACACACACATTATATATATAATATACTTTGTTTCTGGGGGAGGGGGGGGGGATTGACACCAAGAAGTTCTGCACCAGGAGACACCCGACCTAGTGGCGCCACTGAGAGTAGAGTGTGTAGATTCTAGATCTAGACCTAGAATAGATTTTAGTAGATCTAGTATTTTAAATAAGTAGCCCTATAAAAATATTACTTAGACTTATGCCTTATAGTTTAGGACAGTCTATCTAGGTTCATATTTAGTTATTAACTGTACTAAGATGTAAACCTAGATCTATAGCCTAACTAGATCTAGATTAAATCTAGTTTTAATCCTAGACTACCAGTGGCCTAAACTACATACATGGATCCCAATATTGACATTTATAATTTGTATGTATTAATCCTATATTCTTATTCTTAAACTATGTCAGTTTGTGGTGTCCCGTCCCCCCAAATGGACTCACCCGAAGCATAATTATCTAGGCTATATATAGTCTGTATATATTTATATATAGTGGGAAATCTGTCAGAAACAATTTATAATATGAGGCAATTTTTATTGTAAACTAGATCTAAAAATCATGGTTTTAATTTGTAATTATTAATTAGAAGATGCACATTAATAAAGACAAAAAATTATAAAACTATAATTACCCATGCAACTTGCAAGGGTGAAAATAGATCTACATGAAGAAAAAAATAAGATAATTGGAAATCTATACATATAATTCTCTACATGGACACCACCCCACACGAAAGATGACTGTCTAACCCTCCTCCCACCCCCTGCTCTCCAGGCATGTGCAACAGATCATATCGCTACCACCCCTACCAGCCCGGAGAGCCGTGGTTCACGCAGAATGTTCACAATCGTAGAGCCGGGATGGAATTAGTGAATGCTATTTGGGGTTGATAATTTAGTTTTAAAATGATTTGAAACTACGGGCAGGTAAAAAGTTCTGCTTGGTCTTTTCATTGTTGTCTGTAAACTGTGGTCACAGCTGCTTTCACTGGTGAGGATAATAATCATCCTTCAAGAGATACTGATAGTCTTTTAAAGCAAAATATTTTCAGTCACAGCATTGATAGTGTCAAATTCACAAATTAATAATTACTGAAAAGTAGAAAATAAAACAAGTGAATAGTAGCGTACGCTAAGCAGTGGGTCGGCTTGTGGTAAATATTAATCATAAAAGACATTATTTTAACCATAGATAATATAATATCTACCAGGTCAGATGATTGGGATCCCAACAAAAGGCTTACATTGACAAAAGTCAGAAAGGAAATAAGAAGGCAGGCAAACCATAAGGCCAACAAGTTTTATAAAACAACACATCCCAATTACAGGCATGTTTAGTATTTATATAATGATGCAAAGTACAACTTAGAGAAAAAAGGCCTAGTAAGATAAATTGTATGCTATGTCAGTTGTCACCTTCAACATTTTTGACTGCTGGCCTTATGACAGTTGGCCTTTGGTACTACATCCCAGATAAATAGCACCACATCACATGGTATGCTTTAGCCAACATTGGTTGACTACAAACTAATTTCCTCTCTGCACTTGTAATTGGCCAAGTTTACTATAAAACTGGAAAAAAGAAGACATTTTAATAAAATTAGATACATTTTTTATTGTCACCCCGTGCATTTAAACATAAAAAATCATGGGATTAGATAATGGGCCCAATACTCTTAGAATGTAAAAAAAAAACCCATTTGTCTGTTTTTCATACCAGTATTTGATTAGCTCTTTCAGAATGATTTGTTTTGTTTCAGTGAATGTCTCCAACAATCATGTTCCTGTTTTTTACTGAATGATGTCACACTTGTTTTAAGGTAAGCAGTAGTTAACATGAGCATCTAGAAATTAGGGAGGGGGTGATGCAGTCCCTCCTAATGTGTCCATTGGGGTGTTGCAGTCCCTAATGTGTGGGGTGTTGCAGTCCCTAATGTGTCCATTGGGGTGTTGCAGTCCCTAATCTGTGGGGTGTTGCAGTCCCTAATCTGTGGGGTGTTGCAGTCCCTAATCTGTGGGGTGTTGCAGTCCCTAATGTGTGCATTGGACAAGATGACTCTAGGGGAGAGTGCAAGGGGAAGTTCTCTGTGTGGATTTAAAAAACAACCATCTAATACAATATAGTTTACCATCAGTATTTATAGAATAAAAATAATTTTATCAGTATTTTAAATTGCTTGACACCATTGATATCTTGTTCCTCACCATATTCAAATACCTAAGCATTTTTCTAATAATTCAAGTTCAGGAGATAATAATTCATATACTGTACAATTAAAACTGTATTTTTATATATCAATTTGTATAGATTTACTACTGTTTTTTCCTAAACCTTTCTTTATATTGTCTTACACCTAATACTAATAGACGAATACAATAATACTTAGTCCAAGCATAGCCCACTGTTTCTTTAATCTTAATTTTCAGTTGGTAGTTGTTGTTGTGTAAGATAGTGTTGGTGGTAGTGGTTGTTGTGTTCAGATAGTGAAGGTGGTAGTGGTTGTTGTGTTCAGATAGTGATGATGATAGTGGTTGTTGTTTCTAGTGTTGGTGGCAGTGGTTGTTGTGTCTAGATGGTGGTAGTGGTTGTTGTGCTTAGATAGTGAAGGTGGTAGTGGTTATTGTCTATAGTGATGGTGGTAGTGGTTGTTGTGTAAGATAGTGTTGGTGGTAGTGGTTGTTGTGTAAGATAGTGTTGGTGGTAGTGGTTGTGGTTGTTGTGTTCAGATAGTGATGATGATAGTGGTTGTTGTTTCTAGTGTTGGTGGCAGTGGTTGTTGTGTCTAGATGGTGGTAGTGGTTGTTGTGGTTAGATAGTGAAGGTGGTAGTGGTTATTGTCTATAGTGATGGTGGTAGTGGTTGTGTTTAAAATTGTTATGGTGGTACTGGGGTTGTGTCTTGAATGTGATTACGAGGTTGTGCGTTGAGTCTTGACTTGAATGTAATGATGTTGGCTGTGTATTGTCTTGAATGTGATGTTGGAGGTGTGTTGTGTCTTGAATGTGACAATGATATGTGTTGTGTCTAGAATGTGACAATATGTGTTGTGTCTAGAATGTGACAATATGTGTTGTGTCTAGAATGTGACAATGATATGTGTTGTGTCTAGAATGTGACAAAATGTGTTGTGTCTTGAATGTGACAATGATATGTGTTGTGTCTAGAATGTGACAATATGTGTTGTGTCTAGAATGTGACAATGATATGTGTTGTGTCTAGAATGTGACAATATGTGTTGTGTCTTGAATGTGACAATATGTGTTGTGTCTAGAATGTGACAATGATATGTGTTGTGTCTAGAATGTGACAATGATATGTGTTGTGTCTAGAATGTGACAATATGTGTTGTGTCTAGAATGTGACAATGATATGTGTTGTGTCTAGAATGTGACAATATGTGTTGTGTCTTGAATGTGACAATATGTGCTGTGTCTTGAATGTGATGAAGGGGTGTGTGGTGAAAAAAGATGCCAGCAATGTTTGTCATCACAGCCTGATCACAAGTTACAGAGATCAATACTTTATTGATTCCCCGGTCGTGCTCACATTTTCCTGCACTAACAGATTCCAGAATGCCTACAACATTCTGGCAAAGTCTCTCATTCAAAACAAGTGCATTGTTTGACTAGAGTCAACCTCCCTCAAATTTCCCAGTGTTTTAATTGAAGTAGATCCAAATATTTACTCGACCCTATACAAGTTTCTGTCAGCTTAAAGAGCTTACCCTCATATGCCTCCTCATTTACATTTGTCTTCATCCTATTATAGGCATAATCATTTATTTGCGTTATTTTTATCCTATTATAGGGCTACTCATTTACTTTTGTCTTCATCATCTGTTTGGTAGACCCCCCCCCCCTTAACCGCTAGATTTCTACCCCCACATACACACATCACAGAAGTCAAAACTTGATGAACTTTAGGCTTTTCAATCCTTCGTGGTCTTTACAGTTTTAAACTTGGTACTCTCCCCTCTGTAATAAACTTGGTGGTCTCCCCTCTAAACTTGGTGGTCTCCCCTCTGTAATAAACTTGGTGGTCTCCCCTCTAAACTTGGTGGTCTCCCCTCTGTAATAAACTTGGTGGTCTCCCCTCTGTAATAAACTTGGTGGTCTCCCCTCTGTAATAAACTTGGTGGTCTCCCCTCTGTAATAAACTTGGTGGTCTCCCCTCTAAACTTGGGGGTCTCCCCTCTAAACTTGGTGGTCTCCCCTCTAAACTTGGTGGTCTCCCCTCTGTAATAAACTTGGTGGTCTCCCCTCTGTAATAAACTTGGTGGTCTCCCCTCTGTAATAAACTTGGTACTCTCCCCTCTGTAATAAACTTGGTACTCTCCCCTCTGTAATAAACTTGGTGATCTCCCCTCTGTAATAAACTTGGTACTCTCCCCTCTAAACTTGGTGGTCTCCCCTCTAAACTTGGTGGTCTCCCCTCTGTAATAAACTTGGTACTCTCCCCTCTGTAATAAACTTGGTGGTCTCCCCTCTGTTATAAACTTGGTGGTCTCCCCTCTAAACTTGGTGGTCTCCCCTCTAAACTTGGTGGTCTCCCCTCTAAACTTGGTGGTCTCCCCTCTAAACTTGGTGGTCTCCCCTCTGTAATAAACTTGGTACTCTCCCCTCTGTAATAAACTTGGTACTCTCCCCTCTGTAATAAACTTGGTGGTCTCCCCTCTCTAATAAACTTAGTGATCTCCCCTCTAAACTTGGTGGTCTCCCCTCTAAACTTGGTGGTCTCTCCTCTAAACTTTGTGGTCTCCACCCTGTAAAATTATAAATGTCAAACATCGGCCTATACACCCGTTTAGTTAGTGGTGATGTAAAAAAAAATAAGTGAAGATTTTATCGATTCAGCTGAGGCTAAAAAAATATTTCTGCTGATGTCACTTCAGTGTTTTAAAGGTTTCAACATACTTTAGTCACCAGTGTGTTACATCTGTAGGCTACTACAGGTCACCACCATGTCACATCTGTAGGCTACTACAGGTCACCACCATGTTACATCTGTAGGCTACTACAGGTCACCACCATGTTAGATCTGTAGGCTACTACAGGTCACCAACGTGTTACATCTGTAGGCTACTACAGGTCACCAACGTGTTACATCTGTAGGCTACTACAGGTCACCAACGTGTTACATCTGTAGGCTACTACAGGTCACCACCATGTTAGATCTGTAGGCTACTACAGGTCACCACCATGTTAGATCTGTAGGCTACTACAGGTCACCAACGTGTTACATCTGTAGGCTACTACAGGTCACCACCATGTTAGATCTGTAGGCTACTACAGGTCACCACCATGGTACATCTGTAGGCTACTACAGGTCACCACCATGTTACATCTGTAGGCTACTACAGGTCACCACCATGTTAGATCTGTAGGCTACTACAGGTCACCACCATGGTACATCTGTAGGCTACTACAGGTCACCACCATGTTACATCTGTAGGCTACTACAGGTCACCACCATGTTAGATCTGTAGGCTACTACAGGTCACCACCATGGTACATCTGTAGGCTACTACAGGTCACCACCATGTTACATCTGTAGGCTACTACAGGTCACCACCATGTTACATCTGTAGGCTACTACAGGTCACCACCATGTTAGATCTGTAGGCTACTACAGGTCACCACCATGTTGCATCTGTAGGCTACTACAGGTCACCGTGTTAGATCTGTAGGCTTCTACAGGTCACCAACGTGTTACATCTGTAGGTTACTACAGGTCACCAATGTGTTAGATCTGTAGGCTACTACAGGTCACCAATGTGTTAGATCTGTAGGCTACTACAGGTCACCACCATGTTAGATCTGTAGGCTACTACAGGTCACCACCATGTTACATCTGTAGGCTACTACAGGTCACTAATATGTTACATCTGTAGGCTACTACAGGTCACCACCATGTTAGATCTGTAGGCTACTACAGGTCACCACCATGTTACATCTGTAGGCTACTACAGGTCACCACCATGTTAGATCTGTAGGCTACTACAGGTCACCAACGTGTTACATCTGTAGGCTACTACAGGTCACCACCATGTTAGATCTGTAGGCTACTACAGGTCACCACCATGTCACATCTGTAGGCTACTACAGGTCACCACCATGTTACATCTGTAGGCTACTACAGGTCACTAATATGTTACATCTGTAAATACTACAGGTCACCACCATGTTACATCTGTAGGCTACTACAGGTCACCACCATGTTACATCTGTAGGCTACTACAGGTCACTAATATGTTACATGTGTAGGCTACTACAGGTCACTAATATGTTACATCTGTAGGCTACTACAGGTCACCACCATGTTACATCTGTAGGCTACTACAGGTCACCACCATGTTACATCTGTAGGCTACTACAGGTCACTAATATGTTACATCTGTAGGCTACTACAGGTCACCACCATGTTACATCTGTAGGCTACTACAGGTCACCAACGTGTTACATCTGTAGGCTACTACAGGTCACCACCATGTTACATCTGTAGGCTACTACAGGTCACTAATATGTTACATCTGTAGGCTACTACAGGTCACCAATATGTTACATCTGTAGGCTACTACAGGTCACTAATATGTTACATCTGTAGGCTACTACAGGTCACCAATATGTTACATCTGTAGGCTACTACAGGTCACCAACGTGTTACATCTGTAGGCTACTACAGGTCACCAACGTGTTACATCTGTAGGCTACTACAGGTCACCACCATGTTACATCTGTAGGCTACTACAGGTCACCACCATGTTACATCTGTAGGCTACTACAGGTCACCACCATGTTACATCTGTAGGCTACTACAGGTCACCACCATGTTAGATCTGTAGGCTACTACAGGTCACCACCATGTTACATCTGTAGGCTACTACAGGTCACCACCATGTTACATCTGTAGGCTACTACAGGTCACCACCATGTTACATCTGTAGGCTACTACAGGTCACCACCATGTTACATCTGTAGGCTACTACAGGTCACCACCATGGTACATCTGTAGGCTACTACAGGTCACCACCATGTTACATCTGTAGGCTACTACAGGTCACCAACGTGTCACATCTGTAGGCTACTACAGGTCACCACCATGTTACATCTGTAGGCTACTACAGGTCACCAACGTGTTACATCTGTAGGCTACTACAGGTCACCACCATGTTACATCTGTAGGCTACTACAGGTCACCACCATGTTTCATCTGTAGGCTACTACAGGTCACCACCATGTTACATCTGTAGGCTACTACAGGTCACCAACACGTTAGATCTGTAGGCTACAGTAGGCAGGCGGATGGTCTGGCCAAGACTTGATGTGTTGCTGCCAGCTCTCAAGGTTTGCTGTGGCAGGCATCTGTGTGCGATCAATAGAGGCTGAGCGTGAGCTCTTGTTGGCACCACCGCCCACACGTCTGCTCGCCTCGCTCACCACTCCCGTCACACAGGCCGGTCTGTAGTGCAGGACAAGTAGAGTTGATCGAAGTCCTGTGGTCACAAGCATGTTGAAATAGGTGTGCCGATCGTATTCTTCTTCTTCTTCTTCTTCGTTCTTAATTTTTGAATATGGTGGAGGATTCAGACAACAAGTCCAACTTCATGGACAAACCGGACTGTGGTTTCCAGTTTGTCAGGTGTCCCATATAATTTTTCCCTGAGTGGGGTGGGCTGGGGCCAGTGTCTGCCTCTTGCCTGGCTATACAGAGTACAATCCTGGAGTACGTGCTCCGTGTTTTCCGGGGCCTTGCCACAAGGGCACATTTCGCTACACCCAACCTTCAGTTTTTTGTGCATGTGTTGATTTAGTCTGTTGTGGCCTGTTCTAAGTCGAAAGATTATGTATTGTTGTTTTCGTGTCAAATTATAATATCCATCGTCTTTAATGTAGTGAGGGTGTGTGACAGACCACATTTGCGTTTGTTTGTGTTTAATTATTCTTTTTATTTCTTTTGGGTGTAGCGATCGTATTTACAACAGGGATGTGACTTCCGAATTTGAGCGGAAACCGATTTTTCCGTTTCAGTTGCGATTTTCCTCCGCTGATTTAATTTTCGCTGACTTTCAATTTTTGTCGATTTTTTACGAAGTTTTAAAAATTAGGAAAAACAAACCGGAAATGTCTTCTACTGAAAGGGCCGACATTAAATTAGATTAAATGTAGATTAAGATTCGGAATTTCGGCGGACTTTTTCACAGCACAATTTGTTTTAGTCCTAATTTTCCGCTGATATTTTCATTAAAAACACGGGAAAAGGTAATCTAAAATAATTCAGTTATTCAAATGCAACTTACATCTCTTAAGCCTGGTAATCTAGCTATTGATATAGCTTAATTTATCTATCGGTATTTTAACCCGCCTAAATCTACAGTTTCTCTCTGATTCTATTTTATTTCGCAATCTCAAATTAATATTGAAATCCTTGCAAAAGGTGACTATGAGGACTGGCTAACCCGCCCCACCTCGTAGTAACGGTGGCTCTTGTGACCTCACCTTGACCCCAAGTACGTGTTCAGTACTGCTTGTGGGGGGAAAAAATGACGTCACAGTCAATTTCAAATAGCTGTTCCCGCAATACATATGCCGCGTATGCCTACAGACTAAAACATAATACTTAACTCAACGTGACTACGACCGTGTCTTGTTTGTGGAGGAAAAAATAAGTTCAGACTGTTTTTAAATTTTTAATAAGGGGTCTTCCATAAATAACGTCACACTCGTAAGATGGTGTAACATCATTTTTTTGTATTTTAAAAAAGTAATGTTAGAAACTACTGCATTTTAGCCACTATTACGCGTTTTAGTTAACTATTGTAAAACATTGTAATAGAAATTGAATAAAATACACTTTGTTGGTCGACCTCAGTCAATATTTTAGAAAAAAATTCAATTCGAGGAGGGGGGGGAGCATTTGTTGGCTGAGGTGTGGCGTCATTAATGGGGGGGGGGGGAGTCTGGCTTTTGTAGGAGAGAGGGAAGTAAATATCGTCAAAAAAACGTGGATGACCCCTAACAATTTACAGCTATTCCAAAAAAACATAAATATCGATGTGGCTTGGCTATCAAAATGATTAACTTTGGTTCACACATCAGACCCTTTCTAATCTTAGCTAACCTGATCCATTTCATTTTTCCATCACATGAACCTAAAACTTTCAAATTGTAACTAATCTTAATCTAGGCTCTTTACAGTCTAGACATATTTTTACCAATCCTATCTTTAAAAGAATATAAGGCATTAGGCCCCCTATTTAAAATTGAAAACAGGAGTACATCTAGAATGTACACTAGATTAGTACAGTTTAAATTAGCTTAATGGTAAATAAAACTTAATTGCTACTTTTGTTACATTGTAATTTTTTTTTAAAAGTTGTTACAAGGTAAACATTAAATTGCAATTAGACAATACTTTCAATGTTATTTTAGAGTAACATAAACTTCTTGTATTTAAAATATTAACTTCATTAAACAATTAATTAGTACAGTAACAGTATGAAGCTGCTTAACTGCGATAAAAAGTAGATAAAACATTGAGTTATTATCCGAAGAAAATTTCCTAATTTTTTTTGTTTTCTTCCACCATGCCATGTTCAGCTTTGTCCGATGCCCTAAACACTCCCTTCACTTTGTATCAAACTCAATTTTTTTTCTCATTGCTGTTTTTGTCTGTTCTAACTGCCAGTGTCAACAAAGTATATGTATAGTTTAAAGTATAAAAAGTATAGGTATAGTTTGAAGTAGAAAAAGTATAGGTATAATTTAAAGTAGAAAAAGTATATGTATAGTTTAAAGTAGAAAAAGTATAGGTATAGTTTAAAGTAGAAAAAGTATAGGTATAATTTAAAGTAGAAAAAGTATAGGTATAATTTAAAGTAGAAAAAGTATATGTATAGTTTAAAATAGAAAAAGTATATGTATAGTTTAAAATAGAAAAAGTATAGGTATAGTTTAAAGTAGAAAAAGTGTAGGTATAGTTTAAAGTAGAAAAAGTATAGATATAGTTTAAAGTAGAAAAAGTATAGGTATAGTTTAAAGTAGAAAAAGTATAGGTATAGTTACAAGTAGAAAAAGTATAGGTATAGTTACAAGTAGAAAAAGTATAGGTATAGTTACAAGTAGAAAAAGTATAGGTATAGTTTGAAAGTATAAAAAGTATAGGTATAGTTTGAAAGTATAAAAAGTATAGGTATAAAGTAGAAAAATTATAGGTATAGTTTAAAGTAGAAAAAGTATAGGTATAGTTTAAAGTAGAAAAAGTATAGGTAGGCTATAGTTTGAAAGTAGAAAAAGAATAGGTATAGTTTAAAGTAGAAAAAGTATAGGTATAATTTAAATAGCAATATAAATATAAAGTGATATTTCAACGCCAAGGGTAGACAAAGGTACAGAATATAGTCCAAGTTAAGACAGAACAGACAGACCCGACGGGTTCCGAACCTACCATTCCACACGGCACCAAATCGCCTCGCCTTCCATAATTTAAAGTAGAAAAAGTATATGTATAGTTTAAAGTAGAAAAAGTATAGGTATAGTTTAAAGTAGAAAAAGTATAGGTATAATTTAAAGTAGAAAAAGTATAGGTATAATTTAAAGTAGAAAAAGTATATGTATAGTTTAAAGTAGAAAAAGTATAGGTATAGTTTAAAGTAGAAAAAGTGTAGGTATAGTTTAAAGTAGAAAAAGTATAGGTATAGTTTAAAGTAGAAAAAGTATAGGTAGGCTATAGTTTGAAAGTAGAAAAAGTATAGGCATAGTTTAAAGTAGAAAAACTGGCCAAGTTCATAGAGGGTTTGGTAGCGATGATTTAAAAGAAATAATACACGGTAGCTTGAAATATTTGTTGCTACTACAAAGTGGATGATTTCCTGTACTGTACGGTGTAATGTGCTCTTTAGTTCTATATCATTGGCGATTTTTGTAGAACCATCGATGCAGAAATCCATATGAATAAGACACGAGCTACACTATGGACACTAGCCCGTCTAGTGCCATCATGTCATGTGGGTCTCATACACAGTTCTTGCTGGTTTATTGTGTATGGAGACTGGCCCATCTAGTGCCATCATGTCATGCACAGTTCTTGCTGGTTTATTGTGTATGGAGACTGGCCCATCTAGTGCCATCATGTCATGTGCGTCCCATTCACAGTTCCTGCTGGTTTATTGTGTATGGAGACTGGCCCATCTAGTGCCATCATGTCATGTGGGTCTCATACACAGTTCTTGCTGGTTTATTGTGGCAGTTGCCTGATTGTCATGGTCCTAATTAATGACATTTTAATTTATCGGGTGGTCAGTATTTCTGGGAGCCTTATTGCTTTACCACACATTTTCCACATTAACCACATGACACCTGACAAGTTTTGACACAGGAACCACATGACACCTGACATTTGGTACTTATGAAATCACCTTGTCTTTTTCAGCTTATACTGAACCATGACCAGAAGTAAAGGCTGAAAATAGCTGAGAATACAACAGTCATCATGTTGAAGAGGAAATTTGATGCCAGCCTAGGAGAGGGAACCACTCCTTGTAATGGCCATTCAGAGAGTGATGATAGCAACTGTAGTGCTGGTAGTACAGACGCGCTGGCTCCTGAAGGTATCTAGTCTTGATACAGTCCACACTAGACTCTAGTCTTGATACAGTTCCACACTAGACTCTAGTCTTGATACAGTTCCACACTAGACTCTAGTCTTGATACAGTTCCACACTAGACTCTAGTCTTGATACAGTTCCACACTAGACTCTAGTCTTGATACAGTTCCACACTAGACTCTAACCTTGATACAGTTCCACACTAGATTCTAGTCTTGATACAGTTCCACACTAGACTCTAACCTTGATACAGTTCCACACTAGACTCTAACCTTGATACAGTTCCACACTAGACTCTAGTCTTGATACAGTTCCACACTAGACTCTAACCTTGATACAGTTCCACACTAGACTCTAGCCTTGATACAGTTCCACACTAGACTCTAACCTTGATACAGTTCCACACTAGACTCTAGTCTTGATACAGTTCCACACTAGACTCTAGTCTTGATACAGTTCCATACTAGACTCTAGTCTTGATACAGTTCCACACTAGACTCTAGCCTTGATACAGTTCCACACTAGACTCTAGCCTTGATACAGTTCCACACTAGACTCTAGTCTTGATACAGTTCCATACTAGACTCTAGTCTTGATACAGTTCCACACTAGACTCTAGTCTTGATACAGTTCCACACTAGACTCTAGTCTTGATACAGTTCCACACTAGACTCTAACCTTGATACAGTTCCACACTAGACTCTAGTCTTGATACAGTTCCACACTAGACTCTAGTCTTGATACAGTTCCACACTAGACTCTAGTCTTGATGCAGTTCCACACTAGACTCTAGTCTTGATACAGTTCCACACTAGACTCTAGTCTTGATACAGTTCCACACTAGACTCTAGCCTTGATACAGTTCCACACTAGACTCTAGTCTTGATACAGTTCCACACTAGACTCTAACCTTGACTCTAGCCTTGATCTATTGTAAATTTGTGTACACCTATCACTTAAATTTTATTCTATTGTAAATGTGTGTACACCTATCACTTATATTTTGTTCTATTGTAAATTTGTATACACCTATCACTTATATTTTGTTCTGTTGTAAATTTGTGTACACCTATCACTTATATTTTGTTCTATTATAAATGTGTACACATATCACTTATACTTTATTCTATTGTAAATGTGTGTACACCTATCACTTATATTTTGTTCTATTGTAAATGTGTGTACACCTATCACATATATTTGTTCTATTGTAAATGTGTGTACACCTATCACTTATACTTTATTCTATTGTAAATGTGTGTACACATATCACATATATTTTGTTCTATTGTAAATTTGTGTACACCTATCACTTATATTTATTCTATTGTAAATGTGTATACACCTATCACATATATTTTGTTCTATTGTAAATGTGTGTACACCTATCACTTATACTTTATTCTATTGTAAATGTGTGTACACCTATCACTTATATTTATTCTATTGTAAATGTGTGTACACCTATCACTTATACTTTATTCTATTGTAAATGTGTGTACACCTATCACTTATATTTTGTTCTATTGTAAATGTGTGTACACCTATCACTTATATTTGTTCTATTGTAAATGTGTATACACCTATCACATATATTTTGTTCTATTGTAAATGTGTGTACACCTATCACTTATATTTATTCTATTGTAAATGTGTATACACCTATCACATATATTTTGTTCTATTGTAAATGTGTGTACACCTATCACTTATACTTTATTCTATTGTAAATGTGTGTACACCTATCACTTATACTTTATTCTATTGTAAATGTCTGTACACCTATCACATATATTTTGTTCTATTGTAAATGTCTGTACACCTATCACTTATACTTTATTCTATTGTAAATGTGTGTACACCTATCACATATATTTATTCTATTGTAAATGTCTGTACACCTATCACTTATATTTTGTTCTATTGTAAATGTGTGTACACCTATCACTTATATTTTGTTCTATTGTAAATGTGTGTACACCTATCACATATATTTATTCTATTGTAAATGTGTGTACACCTATCACTTATATTTTGTTCTATTGTAAATTTGTGTACACCTATCACATATATTTATTCTACTGTAAATGTGTGTACACCTATCACATATATTTATTCTATTGTAAATGTGTGTACACCTATCACTTATACTTTATTCTATTGTAAATGTGTACACATATCACTTATACTTTATTCTATTGTAAATGTGTGTACACCTATCACTTATATTTTGTTCTATTATAAATGTGTACACATATCACTTATACTTTATTCTATTGTAAATGTGTGTACACCTATCACTTATATTTTGTTCTATTGTAAATGTGTGTACACCTATCACTTATACTTTATTCTATTGTAAATGTGTGTACACCTATCACTTATATTTATTCTATTGTAAATGTCTGTACACCTATCACATATATTTTGTTCTATTGTAAATGTGTGTACACCTATCACTTATACTTTATTCTATTGTAAATGTGTGTACACCTATCACTTATATTTTGTTCTATTGTAAATGTGTGTACACCTATCACTTATACTTTATTCTATTGTAAATGTGTGTACACCTATCACATGTATTTATTCTATTGTAAATGTGTGTACACCTATCACTTATATTTTGTTCTATTGTAAATGTGTACACATATCACTTATACTTTATTCTATTGTAAATGTCTGTACACCTATCACTTATATTTATTCTATTGTAAATGTGTATACACCTATCACATATATTTGTTCTATTGTAAATGTGTGTACACCTATCACTTATACTTTATTCTATTGTAAATGTGTGTACACCTATCACTTATATTTTGTTCTATTGTAAATGTGTGTACACCTATCACTTATACTTTATTCTATTGTAAATGTGTGTACACCTATCACTTATATTTTGTTCTATTGTAAATGTGTACACCTATCACTTATATTTTGTTCTATTGTAAATGTGTATATATCTTTCAGTTGCTTCTGGACCTTCTGCACCAAAACGCATGAAGAAAAAAGTCAACTTTAAAGGAGTAACTGTTTATTATTTCCCTCGCAGACAAGGTTTTACATGTGTACCTAGTGAAGGTGGATCTACATTAGGTAAAAAAAAATGTTTTTGCTGATCAAATTTTTTCATATTTAATTACTAATAATTAGTGGATCTGATGATTTACACACAAGAACAATGATTGTGTCAAGAAAAATGATTGTGTCAAGAAAAATGATTGTGTCAAGAAAAATGATCATTTTGCCCTGTCTAGCATTTCTTCTTTCATTTGTTTGTCAATTATAAGAAAGCAGAATTTTTCTGAGACCTTCTGAAGCTGATTGCACCATGTTACAAGAGTGTATCTTTTATTGCCACCACATGTCACCAGACCTTTCTCACCACATGTCACCAGACCTGTCTCACCACATGTCACCAGACCTGTCTCACCACATGTCACCAGACCTGTCCCACCACATGTCACCAGACCTGTCCCACCACATGTCACCAGACCTGTCTCACCACATGTCACCAGACCTGTCCCACCACATGTCACCAGACCTGTCTCACCACATGTCACCAGACCTGTCTCACCATATGTCACCAGACCTGTCTCACCACATGTCACCAGACCTGTCCCACCACATGTCACCAGACCTGTCCCACCACATGTCACCAGACCTGTCCCACCACATGTCACCAGACCTGTCCCACCACATGTCACCAGACCTGTCCCACCACATGTCACCAGACCTGTCTCACCACATGTCACCAGACCTGTCCCACCACATGTCACCAGACCTGTCCCACCACATGTCACCAGACCTGTCCCACCACATGTCACCAGACCTGTCTCATCACATGTCACCAGACCTGTCCCACCACATGTCACCAGACCTGTCTCACCATATGTCACCAGACCTGTCCCACCACATGTCACCAGACCTGTCTCACCACATGTCACCAGACCTGTCTCACCACATGTCACCAGACCTGTCTCACCACATGTCACCAGACCTGTCCCACCACATGTCACCAGACCTGTCTCACCACATGTCACCAGACCTGTCCCACCACATGTCACCAGACCTGTCCCACCACATGTCACCAGACCTGTCCCACCACATGTCACCAGACCTGTCCCACCACATGTCACCAGACCTGTCCCACCACATGTCACCAGACCTGTCCCACCACATGTCACCAGACCTGTCTCACCACATGTCACCAGACCTGTCCCACCACATGTCACCAGACCTGTCCCACCACATGTCACCAGACCTGTCCCACCACATGTCACCAGACCTGTCTCATCACATGTCACCAGACCTGTCCCACCACATGTCACCAGACCTGTCTCACCATATGTCACCAGACCTGTCCCACCACATGTCACCAGACCTGTCTCACCACATGTCACCAGACCTGTCTCACCACATGTCACCAGACCTGTCTCACCACATGTCACCAGACCTGTCTCACCACATGTCACCAGACCTGTCCCACCACATGTCACCAGACCTGTCTCACCACATGTCACCAGACCTGTCCCACCACATGTCACCAGACCTGTCCCACCACATGTCACCAGACCTGTCCCACCACATGTCACCAGACCTGTCCCACCACATGTCACAACATGTCACCAGACCTGTCCCACCACATGTCACCAGACCTGTCCCACCACATGTCACCAGACCTGTCTCACCACATGTCACCAGACCTGTCCCACCACATGTCACCAGACCTGTCTCACCACATGTCACCAGACCTGTCCCACCACATGTCACCAGACCTGTCTCACCACATGTCACCAGACCTGTCCCACCACATGTCACCAGACCTGTCTCACCACATGTCACCAGACCTGTCCCACCACATGTCACCAGACCTGTCCCACCACATGTCACCAGACCTGTCCCACCACATGTCACCAGACCTGTCTCACCACATGTCACCACATGTCACCAGACCTGTCTCACCACATGTCACCAGACCTGTCTCTCTGTTTTCTGGGTGTTGATTTTGTAATTCACTTTTGAGCCACTTCTAATGTAGTGATTTTGTAGACAAATTTTGACACAGGTAACTGATACGACAGTTATGATAAAGCATGACTGTAAGCTCATATACAAGACAAATAAAATTTTGGATTTTTAAAAAAAAAAATCATATTTTATTTATTGGCTACTCCTCTATAAGCAATATTTCAACCAACAAGCTAATCATTTGAAAGTTGATATAAACCTGCCTAATGTGATGTATCTGGGGGTGCAGCTAAAACTTTCCTATTCTAATACAACTTGAATTTTTAAAAATTGAAATGCTTATTGTCTCATGGTTGGGAAGAATTATTTAAAATGTCATTACATTATTTGTGGATTTATTATTAATAGTTTTATTGTTTTGGTGGATTTTTTGTCAATTTTACCTTGTTAGGTTGATACTGCCCTCTTTAGTCATAATCTAATGAATACTTTCCAAACCTTAATCTAACTCAAATATTGACTTACCAATTTAATTAAAATGGCAATAAAACAAATGTAAAAATGCTTTTTATAATAAGCTTTTACTTTTAAATGCAACAAAAAGTAAAAGAAGTAAACTTGCTTTTTTTAGAAAAAGCAGAGATTGTTTATAGATTTCTTTAGGTATATTTTAGTGACCAGCAGAGATTTTCTATTTGTCTGTTGTATATTCCCAGGCATGTCAGAGCGCCACAGTTTCACAAGAGATTTCAGCCTGTCTGACTACACCAAAGAGCAGAAGAGAATCCACCGAGCTATACTGGCTGAACAGAGGCGTCAGGGTAAAATGTTCCCATCTCCTCTGTTAGCCTCCAGTGGTCCCAGTCAGGATGAGGACATCTCATCAGCCAGTGAGAGTGACAGTGAGTATGATGACTACTACTTCCTGCAACCTCTTCCCATTCGCCAACGCCGCGTCCTACTGCGTACGGCTGGTGTCAAGAAAATTGACAATGAAGAGAAAGACGAGTGTCGAGACATTCGCGTGTCCCGCAATATCTGTGGCTGTGACTGTAAAATGTTGTGTGAGCCAGCGACCTGCTCCTGCAGCCTGGCTGGCATCCAGTGTCAGGTGGACAGGCTGTCCTTTCCCTGTGGCTGCACCAAGGATGGCTGTGGCAACCCTGCAGGCAGGATTGAGTTCAACCCCATCAGGGTCAGGACGCACTTCATCCACACCCTGATGCGGCTGGAGCTGGAGCGCTCCCAGTGCCCAGACAGCGCAGCCACCCAGTCAGCCAACATAGAGATTGATGTCGTGGGGGCCAACTGTGAGGAAGGGGAGCTGACGGACAACTCTGCAGACAGCTGCAGTGGAGCCAGCACTGGGGGGCAGCTGGTCCTCAAGAGCCGTCTCAAGGCTAAGAAGGTGGAGTCTATTGACCTCAACATGTTTAACAGTAATGAGAGGGGGAGCTGTCGGGACTGTCAGAACACTGACATGTGCAATGTCATGATGCATGACGTCAAGTTTTCTATGGTGAGCCAGCAGCGCCAGCAACAGCAGCGAGCCATGAGCGCTGTCTTGAGCAGCCAGTCCAGCTACCAGGGCTCCAGCCACCACCTGAGTCTGCTACCCCAGCCCAGCCAGCACATGCTGCTCTTCCATGATGGGGAGGAGGAGGTCTACCAGGCAGAGAACACCACCTCCATGTACTTTGACCATGACGACAGCTCCTACTCTGAGATGAGTGATGTCTCCCCCGATGGTGCTCGCCCATTTGCCAACCTGTCTGGGCCAGGCAGTTTCAGCCTCAAGTTTCACATGACACCGACCTCATTGTTGGGTCACAGCACGCCCAGCTGTGTCCAGTCACTGGGTCACAGCACACCCAGCTGTGTCCAGTCACTGGGTCACAGCACACCCAGCTGTGTCCAGTCACTGGGTCACAGCACACCCAGCTGTGTCCAGTCACTGGGTCACAGCACGCCCAGCTGTGTCCAGTCACTGGGTCACAGCACACCCAGCTGTGTCCAGTCACTGGGTCACAGCACACCCAGCTGTGTCCAGTCACTGGGTCACAGCACACCCAGCTGTGTCCAGTCACTGGGTCACAGCACGCCCAGCTGTGTCCAGTCCTTGGAGAGCCAGCAGCAAGGCCTGAGAACTCCATACATGCCTTCTGTGGCCTCTGTAGACATGTCTGAGAGACTGGCACCACACTTCCCCATGCAGTCGTCTACCTACAAACCTGAGTCTCTTTTAGCCCTAACCTTCAACTCAGACCCAGCCGCAGGTTCTGACTTCATGCACCCAACTGGTCATGTGACCAACAATTCAGATCATATCCCAGCCGCAGGTTCTGACTTCATGCACCCAACTGGTCATGTGACCAACAGTTCAGATCATATCCCAGCCGCAGGTTCTGACTTCTTGCACCCAACTGGTCATGTGACCAACAGTTCAGATCATATCCCAGCCGCAGGTTCTGACTTCTTGCACCCAACTGGTCATGTGACCAACAATTCAGATCATATCCCAGCCGCAGGTTCTGACTTCATGCACCCAACTGGTCATGTGACCAACAGTTCAGATCATATCCCAGCCGCAGGTTCTGACTTCATGCACCCAACTGGTCATGTGACCAACAATTTAGATCATATCCCAGCCGCAGGTTCTGACTTCATGCACCCAACTGGTCATGTGACCAACAATTTAGATCATATCCCAGCCGCAGGTTCTGACTTCATGCACCCAACTGGTCATGTGACCAACAATTTAGATCATATCCCAGCCGCAGGTTCTGACTTCTTGCACCCAACTGGTCATGTGACCAACAATTCAGATCATATCCCAGCCGCAGGTTCTGACTTCATGCACCCAACTGGTCATGTGACCAACAGTACGATGACAGCCAGCACCCCCCTTCTCTCAGCAGTAACCAGATGTTTTGGGTTAGATGCCCCTGCCACACAGGAAGCTGGTCTGGCTGCCTCCAGCTTGTATGCTGCCAGCACAACTACCTACGCAACCATGACCAGCACAACTCGTGACCTGCTAGCTGCCCACTGCCCTAGCATTTCCTCTCATATGGACACCAAACTGGGCTTGTCCACTGATGTCAAAACTGAAGTTCAGCTTTATGCTACTCAACAGGACACTACCCCAGCAAGTTACCAGCTAACTGAACCGGCTGCCCCAGCCAGTTACCAGCTAACTGAACCGGCTGCCCCAGTGAATTACCAGCTAACTGAACCGGTTGCCCCAGCCAGTTACCAGTCAACTGAACCGGCTGCCCCAGTGAATTACCAGCTAACTGAACCGGTTGCCCCAGCCAGTTACCAGTCAACTGAACCGGTTGCCCCAGCCAGTTACCAGTCAACTGAACCGGCTGCCCCAGCCAGTTACCAGTCAACTGAACCGGCTGCCCCAGCCAGTTACCAATCAACTGAACCGGTTGCCCCAGCCAGTTACCAGTTGACTGAACCGGTTGCCCCAGCCAGTTACCAGTTGACTGAACCGGCTGCCCCAGCCAGTTACCAGTCAACTGAACCGGTTGCCCCAGCCAGTTACCAGTCAACTGAACCGGTTGCCCCAGCCAGTTACCAGCCTAATGAGCCAGCCATTAGCTCAGGAACATTGGAGACCTGTGACTGGACTCTGAATGGGACAAAATCTACCCCATTACCTGAACACGAGGAACTGTCAATCATTGACAGTAGGGCTCCAGAAGTGACATCTTCTACATCAACATCTTCCTCTTCATCACCAACTTCAGAAGAGAAGGAAGGGATTGGTCAGCAGTATTCTGACTTGATGAAAGAAAATTTGTTGGAGATGGTCTTAGTTTAAGGTCAGCCCAAAAAGTTGAGTGGGACAGACATCTTCTTGGCAGATGGTGAGGAAACCTGTGTCTGCCCAGTTTCTGGAGTCAGTTTGATGCAACAAAAGAGAGTTTTGTAACTGGCATGAACTTGGAGACTGCTCTGTTGTGTAGCCTCTTGTCTTTGGTGCAATATTTTTCCTGTCGGTATCTGGTCACAATGTCAGCCTGGTGAACCAGTGGATAACCAGCGCTTGAACACAATCAAACATTTTTAACCTTTGATACACAGTTTTACCTGAGAACTGACTTGTAGCCAGGGCAAGCTATGGATGTTTTTTTTTATTTGCTACCCATGATTTTTGATGGCATGTCAGATATTTGATGGGCCTCTACACATTTTTACCAGATCTGAGTATTGTTTGCATGATACATTTCTTGTCTAGATCATTGATCACTGTCCTTGATGATCATGGGTGCCACATCTTCTGCAGTGCTAGGACTAGCTCAGTCTCCTGCCATACAAAGTTTGCTTCTACACTTGTAGGATTAGATCTATACAAGCATTGAGGAAGACTTTCTCTCTTCTACAGTACAGCAATACAGCCAATTTAGTCAGTCATACATCCAGTTAAGTTAGACACATAACCAATTTAGCCAGCCACAGAACCAATTTAGCCAGCCACAGAACCAATTTAGCTAACCACACTACCAGTTTAGCTAACCTAACTACCAATTTAGCTAACCACACAAGCAAGTGAGCTAGCCTTTGAATGATGAAGATCCCACCTTTGCTGTTGTCAACTTGAATGTTGTAGCTTTTACATTGATGTCTTGCTGTCCTGGCCACATAGGTGCTTGCCACATAGACATTGGAGCGCTAGATGTGGCCCTGAAGAAAACTAGTGCTTGTGTCATCACCTGTGTGGCCCTGGCAGTCAACTACTTACTAGATAGTCTTTTAGAGTAACTGATGTCATTGAGAACTACTAGATCTGATGCTGTTGTACCGTGGCTGTTCTTATGACTGGTCTGTTGAATCTTGTCTAAATAACCTGCCGATGTGGAAGGACTGAATAGGACACTTTTCAACATTTATTTGCTAGCTTTTGAATATTTGATCTCTGTATTCTGATTTCCTTCAACTGAAATTGTAAGAAAGTTTTTTTTTTTTTAGTTCCGGACTGCACCATCCTACATGTAAATATAGTCAATAATTTATTGGTCTCATCCGTTTTATGTGTGTACAGCTATGGTCTTTTTTGTAAAGTACACTCAGGCTTTTATTGTTGTACTCTACACTTTGGGCCATTGTTGTATGCTACACTTTGGGCCATTGTTGTACGCTACACTTTGGGCCATTGTTGTACGCTACACTTTGGGCCATTGCTGTACGCTACACTTTGGGCCATTGTTGTACGCTACACTTTGGGTCATTGTTGTATGCTACACTTTGGGCCATTGTTGTATGCTACACTTTGGGCCATTGTTGTACGCTACACTTTGGGCCATTGTTGTATGCTACAATTTGGGCCATTTTTGTATGCTACACTTTGGGCCATTGTTGTATGCTACACTTTGGGCCATTGTTGTATGCTACACTTTGGGCCATTGTTGTACGCTACACTTTGGGCCATTGTTGTATGCTACACTTTGGTCCATTGTTGTACGCTACACTTTGGGCCATTGTTGTACGCTACACTTTGGGCCATTGTTGTACGCTACACTTTGGGCCATTGTTGTACGCTACACTTTGGGCCATTGTTGTATGCTACACTTTGGGCCATTGTTGTATGCTACACTTTGGGCCATTGTTGTACGCTACACTTTGGGCCATTGTTGTATGCTACACTTTGGGCCATTGTTGTATGCTACACTTTGGGCCATTGTTGTATGCTACACTTTGGGCCATTGTTGTACGCTACACTTTGGGCCATTGTTGTACGCTACACTTTGGGCCATTGTTGTATCTAGCACTGCGTTATTTTTTGTTTCAATCTGTGATATTTTGACTTGCACAAGACCGCCAACCTAGTCAAATGGAGTAGGTCACTCACGAGAGATCTGGAGTAGGTCACTCACGAGAGATCTGGAGTAGGTCACTCACGAGAGATCTGGAGTAGGTCACTCACGACAGATCTGTCCTGTGCAGGTCAACTTTTGTGTACAATTTTTTTTCTATGCGGACAAATCTTTTTGGAAGACCGGAATTTTTTTCTTGCCATTTTGTACTAAGATCTGTGTTTTTGGTTGTAAAACGATCTATGCCATGTGAGATCTGCCATATGCCATGTCAGATCTGTCATATGCCATGTCAGATCTGTCATATGTCATGTCAGATCTGTCATATGCCATGTGAGATCTGCCATATGCCAAGTGAGATCTTAGCATTGAACGAATGTGAGAGCTGGGTTGACTCTGGTAGCCTGGAATAATTGGCCGGCTTGTATGTCCACCACTGTGCTGATAGTGAATGACAGGATCAGGGTTTGGACTGAATGATCAAAATCTCTCTATACATATATTCATTATTAGCTGTTTCTGTTGTGACTTTTGTGAAATCTAGAAAATATGGCATTAAAAAAAGCACCCAATAGCTTTGTGATGTTGTGTTTACGAGACGTTTAGCAGAATAAATGCTTGCTTTAGATGTGGCTGGATCGGACTATCCCTTCATATACTGACGTCACAGGTGACCTACTCAACTCTACTTCACCTGCCCAGTGTCCCGCCAAGTCTCAGACAACATGTTTTTATCGTTTAAAAAAACGATTCCAGCCGAGCATGTCTCTGACCACACTATCCCTTCATATGCTTAGGACAAAGAAACAGATTAACTCTACTTCACCTGACCTGTATCCCATCAAGTTCAGATAGGCAACTTTATCATTCACACCTAAAAAATAAAAAATTATCATTGACGTATTGGTCTAGAACCCGTGCCACCCGCATGCAAGCCGATTACACTGACAATTTAGCTATTTAACTCGTGACGTCACAGATGTTTTTTTATACTATAGTTTAATACTTTAGTCTCCTTATGCAACTTGATTTACGCGCATAGATCTAGATCTAAGTCTAGTAGTAGTAACTTTCAAATTAAATTTTATCTTAAATTAGCCAAACAAAGATTAATATAAATTAATGAAGGTTTGAAATTATCTAGATCTAGATAGAATTATCTAGATTCTACGACTTGTTGAGCATGTTTATATAACGTGAAAACCCGCCATTTTGCTCGTGGTCAGTGTTTCTTCCAGACTTTTTTCTCCGGGGGGGGGGGGGGCACTTGAAGTTTTCGGGGGGGGAGGGGCGGACACTGTTAAAAGTTTATATTTTCTATATAAATTATATAAATTTCATTTCGTTCGAGGGGGGGGGGGGCGGTAAAAAAATTTCGGGGGGCTTGGCCCCCCCCCCCCCCCCCCCCCCCCCCGGAAGAGATGCCTGGAAGAAACTCTGCTCGTGGTAAACATAGCCTAAAAATAGTCGGAAGTCATGCGTCCGGTCCGGACGCCATTGTTGTTAGCAACTGACCACGCCCCCAATAAAGCGAGAAATCCTACTATATCTAGCTCTAGAACCTAGATAGATAAATCCGATGTATTCTCGAATTAAATGTTCATTAAAGCTAAACAAAGATTTATAAAAAATAAGGCCTGAAATAGATTCTAGATGTAGAATTTGCATTAAGTCTAGATCTAGAATTTACGTAAAGTCTAGTGACCTAGATCTAGTTCTAAAATCTAGATTTCATAACAATGATACCATAACATGTTCTTCCTTCGACAGCTGATCTGTAGATCTAGAGAAATTTATCGTAAAACTAAATGAAAAAGACAGTTGAAAATTGATTTTAAGTGTTGGAACGTAATAAATACAGCAAACAGACGTATTGTTAAAGTTACAGCCGACAGAAAATTAGCTTTAGAACGCGTTAAACTTTGGAATGGGAACAAAATCTTCTTCGATAGACGCCGCCATTTTATTGTACTAAAAAGTTTTAAAAAATGTGACGTCACTGTTTCGTCGAGTCTAGTGGTTTTTCTAATCTTTTAAAATCAATGTGGTTAATCTACCTATGAATAAATCAATAAATTAATTAAAGTCTTTAAATAAATGTGTGATTAACAGTCTGTCTTCAATCAAAAATTGTTCTCTCCCTACATACTATTTTACAGCCCCCCATATAGAGCAGTTTCCTTATAGTACGAAATCAGACAAATAAAAATTCAAACATGTAAACAAACTTGAGTTTTAGTCGTATACTAGACTACCCGTTATCTAGTTAGATAACTGTGGGTTTCGGGGGCGGGGGGGTCATCCATTAATGACATTACGTCTGCCAGCACTTTTCATCCCAAAATAACCAGACCCCACATTAAAAAAGACGTTTTTTATATTTTAAAAACTCTACTAAACTCTACTTCACCTGCCCAGTGCCCCGCCAAGTCTCAGACATGTTTGTATTTAAAAAAAAAGATTCCGGACGAGCATTGATCTGACCACACTATCCCTTCATATGCTGAGAACATAGAAACAGGTGAACTCTACTTCACCTGCCATGTGCCCCGCGAGGTCCTGATAGTAAACCTTACCATTCACATATATGCATTAAGAAAAAAATAATTGAAAACATTGTTGTAAAAAAAAAAAAATCTTTTTACTATTACTAAAGTCATTGTTCTAAACTTTTATAATTAATGTGGTTAATCTACCAATGAATATATCAATAAATTAATTAACGGCTTTAAATAAGTTTGTGATTAACAGTGTGTTTAAGAAAGAACAATATTTACCACCCAAAATGCTATTTTACAGCTCTACACATAATGCAGATTCTCCCCAAATACAAATTAAAACAAACAAACAAAAAAATGAGTTATCAAACGTCACTATTCAGTGAAAGTTAAGCCATTGTTCTAAAACTTAAAAATTAATGTGGTTAATCTACCTATAAATAAATCAATAAATTAATTAACGTCTTTAAATAAATGAGTGATTAACAGTCTGTCTACAATAAAAAATCGTTCTCTACCTACATACTATTTTACAGCCCCCCGTATAGAGCAGTTTCCTTACAGTACCAAATCAGACAAACAAACAAAAATTCAAACATGTAAACAAACTTGAGTTTTAGTAGTATACTAGACTACCCTTTATCTAGTTAGATAACTGTGGGATCGGGGGGGGGGGGGGGGGGGTCATCCATAAATGACATTACGTCTGTCAGCACTTTTCATCCCAAAATAACCAGACCCCACATTAAAAAAGACGTTTTTTATATTTTAAAAACTCTACTAAACTCTACTTCACCTGCCCAGTGCCCCGCCAAGTCTCAGACAAGTTTGTATTTAAAAAAAAAAGATTCCGGACGAGCATTGATCTGACCACACTATCCCTTCATATGCTGAGAACATAGAAACAGGTGAACTCTACTTCACCTGCCCTGTGTCCCGCGAGGTCCTGATAGTAAACCTTATCATTCACATATAGGCCTCTACCTACATACTATTTTACAGCCCCCCCCCCCCCCCCCATATAGAGCAGTTTCCTTACAGTACCAAATCAGACAAACAAACAAACAAATAAATATTCAAACATGTAAACAAACTTGAGTTTTAGTAGTATAATAGATAGATAGATAGATAGATAGATAGATAGATAGATAGATAGATAGATAGTATATAGATAATAAAACGCTATTTTTCTAATGTTTTTTTTTTTAATTATTAATTTTGGTTCTCATCTTTGGATTTTCCTTATATAAACACCATGGGGGGGGGGGGGGTCGTCCAAGAGGCTTATATTGCAGGTGGTGTTTGTCCAGAGGGTTCATGTCGCGGGGGATTATGTCCTGGGGTTTATTTCGGGTTTTTTTTTTTGTCTACGGGGTTTATGACCGACCGGACACCTTTATAATTGTATTATTCCAACAATAATTAGCTCTTGGACGTGCGCAGAATTAGCGATTACATATTTACTTTCTCTTATATACGAAGTGGTGCCCTGTCAAAACGACCTGGGACAAATCGGCCCCGTCAAAACGGCCCCGTTAATATGACCCCGTCAAATCGACTCCCGACAAACGACCCCGTCAAAAGGGCCCCGACTTATTGGCTCCCGTCAAATGGGCTCCCGTCATATTGACTTGCGACATATAGGCTCCCGACAAATGGGCTCCCGACATTTAGGCTCCCGACAAATAGACTTCCGACATATTGGCTCCCGACAGATAGGCTCATGACATATTGGCTCCCGACAAATGGGCTCCCGACATATTGGCTCCCGACAGATAGGCTCAGGACATATTGGCTCCCGACAGATAGGCTCACGATAAATGGGCTTCCGACATACTGGCTACCGACATATTGACTCCCGACAAATGGGCTCCCGGCAGTTGGGCTCCCGACAAAAGGACTCCCGCCATAGTGGCTCCAGACAAAATGGCTCCCGACAATTGGACTCTAGACAAAAGAAATCCAGACATATTGGCTCCCGACTAAATGACTCCCGACTTATTGGCTCACTATAAAATGGCTCCGGTTAAATAACTCCCGACTTAAAACACTTCCCGACAAAGAAACCGTTTTCTGAGGAGTTATCACATTTTTATCTTTAAACAGTTCGCTTTCTTTAAAGTTTCGAGTATTGTAATTTTATATTAACCTGATTTAAGTGCATGCTGAGCTGTTGTTTACGCCACACGACCCAAGCTCAGCTGTTTCTGTTTAAATTTTGCATGCATGTTACACATTTTGCGTTTGTTGTCTAGGTTTTTCACATGTTAATTTCAATGTATGGATGTCCACATGGACCCCCCTCCCTCCTTCCCAGTCCACGACAGTCGATGTTAATCGACACTCCACCCACCATGTTGACGTCATAAAAGGATGACGGCTAGCAAACATGCTTTTGAAAAATTGATCCCTGGACTACAAAAACAACACACGAAGATGTTAACAATCATACTAGCTAGTATTACAAGGCGTGGGGGGAGGGGGTGGTCTGTACGGAAGTGTTGAATGTTGCCAGGAAGTAGTTCATAAACGATACATTTATCTACTCTATACTTGCAAGGCTAAAAAGAGGGGTGGGATGGAGGTCGGCTCGGGAAAAAACTAGAAAGAGACAACAAAGCGTTTATGTACGTCAGCATCGCCCTTTGTAAAACTTACTAAGGGGAGATAATTCCCAGTATAGGCCCTAAAAGTTTACTATTATATTTCTTGTAAAAACAAAAAAAGTAAACGTATATAAAACTGAAGTTTCTAGTATTATATTATTTTTTATTATTTGTAGGATACAACATAATACAGGATACAAATTCAACCACTATCACAAACATTGAAAATGTTTAATGGATTACGGGTCCCTTACCAATTTCGCAAAGAAGAACCGCACATCACGAAAGCCCACTTCATATGTAGCGGCTTCTCGTGCCATGGACTTTGTTTTTTTTTTTTAAAAAAGAATTTTGCCGGCGACAGCGTGTTTTTGATTGTTGGAAAATAGAACTCGGCCTTGTTGGTGCCCATCCCTTGCCCCATCCGCCACAGTACACTTTGGAGGATCGGTCAAACAGTTA